CATCCGCCTAGGATGACAACTATTGTCCAGTCGAAGGGTCCTCCCACCCACCCTGCATGGTGAGGTACAGTATATAGATATTTTTAAATTAATGTCTCCGCCAGTTTTCGCAGTATTTTTACACGCATTTGAATTTGAATCGAATTATTGGTATTGCAGTTATAAATTTGCAGCATGGCGAAATTAAGACTGGAAATAGATGAATTTTCGTTTTAAAAATATTATTTTGGCGTTCAATATGTAATGTTACTAAAGTGACAATTTGTTGTTTTCTATACCAGGATTGTCATATTTTGTTAGGATATGAAATTTATATCATTATAAATGTTAGGAGTGCTTAGGGCATTCTGTTGGGGCCTACACCAATACTTACCTCTCGTTGTTTTTGGTAAAAGTGTAGATAACGGCTACTTGTATTCCAGTGCAGGATCCTCTGTGTGCCTATGGTGCAGCATAAAATACAACACCACCACCCAATTCCACAATTTATCCATTCTGTTTTAGAAGGTCTCCAATGTGATGGTTTCCTCAGTCAGACTGTTACACACTCAGTGTGAACGATGCCTTCCTTCTTGTAGTGTTGGCCAACTTTGGGTATAATATTTGTTTGTGTCCTCTTGGACCTGAGTATGTTGCAAAGTCCCTCCACAGTTGTACTAAACTCCTGACTTCAGTCTCATAGTAACCATTTAAAAATCTAAAAATCTTTTTTGTCTGTATCTGGGACGGTAATTATTTATGGCTTCACAGCCACTGACTTTTCAATGAAAACTAATTTAAAAACGCCACAATTATACTGTACTGAAGTCAAGTTCACTGGATGCGAGTTTCCCATCTGACATTTGTCACCCTTTTTGTATATAGCACATATCACTACTTTTTTCCATTCCTCAGACACTGTCCCCTCCTCAATCAGCGTTTAGATAATATTGCCAATGGCTCTGCTGTAGTGTTTGCTGTTCCGTCTTCAGTATAAACCTTGGGTGTAAATCATCTAGTCTAGGAGATTTGTTTATTTTTAACTCTTTCAACACCTATTTAAACTTTCTCCTTGTTTATTGTTAGTTTCCAAAGGATATTGTGCTAAAAACATAACTGAAGAACTTAGCTAGCATGTTTGCTTTTGCTTTGTCGTTGCCATTTTTGGCAGAATTAAAATTCCTTAAGTGCTCCAGTGAGAAAATTGGTAATGGTAGAGGAGACGGTTAGCACCCGAAAGACTTTATGGAATTGCACCAAAATTCTGGATGATACTGTACTAAACACAAAAATTTAAACGATTATACACAGAACCTAATAGAACCTGACCTAACTATGTAACATAACCTTACCTAAGCAATTTACTTGAAGCAGCATGGTGTAATTTTATGTTGTTTGTGGATGTAAGAGTACGATCGGTTGTTACAGTGAAACACATATTTCTTTTTCACTGTCAGTCTTTGCCTCATTTTGAACACTTGCCCATCCTACCAACTAGTCCATGTTAACTTGAACTCTTAGAGATGGTCTTCATCCTCTACAACCACAGATAACTTGTGATAAGACAAAGAACTACCCTTACATGATGCCACTACTGCATACCTGTAGTTAATTTACAAGATGGCTAGCTTGTCTCTCCCCTTGGAGAAGAACAATAAGTATATGAACATTCAGTTCACTTAGAATTCAATGCTATTGGAAAGAAACTGGAATTGTATCCAAACCCATAATATGGGATTTGAATCTAACTACTGTACTGGTAGTATATGAATTTTATCAAAGAATAGGTTTAAGAACCAGTTGCTATATTTATGGTAAAAATATAATATTTTTGGCCTACAAATTACATAGATACATAAAATTACTGCCATATGATCAGTTCTTCGCGTACTTTGCCCCTTAACTTCCCTCATCTTTCATGCCTTGCTCACTACAGGTGATTTATGATCGCTGATAGAGAAAAAACAACTTAAAATTACAGGGAAAAGTTGTATCACCGTTTACATTTTTTCATCCAAACAAAACCTGAGGAAAATATGAATGAATTCTATAAAGTCCTTCGGGTGTTAACCGTCTCCTCCACTATTACCAGAAATATTGTACGAAAACTTGGTGTTGGTTGATATTGAAGTTGAAAGATACAGTACCCTATTACGTATTAGTTTTCAAACCAATTTTTTTTTGCTTTTTATTTTTGCAATGTGAATGAATACTGTATACAGTATACTACTGTATATCCTGTAACTATGACAGAGCCTTATTTTTAATTGGAGCATTATACCAAGGGAGCCTTAATATGGGTAAACACTGCTTCTACTGAATGGGGTTTGAAGTTTGGCCACTATTAATTTTCCAAAACTTTGAAAGAGGAACAAAGTCTGCTTGGCCATGTTTTAGCAGGAGCAGATCCAGGGGGGTCTTGGGGGTCCGGACCCCCCTTTTCATCAGAAAATTCCAATATTTTTTTCTTTAATGCAGTATTGTAGTCAGGCATTTTTGTACAGTAAAAAGTAATTGTTAATGACCTTAGAATATCTTCTAATATCAAGTGTACAAGACTTCAAAATGGCCATGATATTGGTAAGATTTCCAAAAAAAATTTGGAGGGGGCTATCAGTGCCCCCCACCCCTCAAAAAAAAACAGCTGGGTGGGCTCACCATGATTCCCCACTCACAACTTCTTGGTACCCCCCCTCCCCCCTTTTGATATTCCTGGATCCGTCCCTGTTTAGCTCGTTGCGGGGTCTTCTTATAAGATATGTGAAATTTAAGGGACTAACTACAGGTAAAAGAAAAATGGGGTGACATACCTGTAGATGATTGCCTGTATTGTACTGTATATGTAATGAATTTCCTAAAGAACTGCATACCAAACTTAACATTCACATAATGTGCACTTTGTTACACTGTTGTATTTGTTTTCAGAAAATCTTTAAAGGCAGTCATCCTGATATTTCATTTAGTAAATTATCAGTTTTGAAATTTGAAACTACAATGCTCCTCTTTCAAGCATTTTGGATTACATGACTGGTACACTCAGTTTTATTTTTTCCACTGCAAAAGGATTCTGCCATATTTTGGACAATGTTCTCAGTGTTTTTTTTTTAAATGGGATTAGCCCATCCAGGGTACAGGTCAATGACCCAGATCAGGTCCTGGGGGGCAAAAATATAATTATAATAATAATAATTAATAAAAATTAAGTAGAAATATAATATAAAATATACTACTATAGGGTACTACTACTACTACTACTACTAACAATAATAATAATAATAATAATAATAATAATAATAATAATAATAATAATAATAAAGGATCACAAATAAATACAAAAATTAAAAAAATCAATGTTGAGAAATGATATGTGTACAGTATGTTGTGTTGTCAAAGTAAGAGGAGCAATTGAAACCCTTTAATTGTGTGTAAACTTTTGCAGAAAGTTAGATCAGCAACCTGGGGCTTGGTCACAATTTTTGTGATGCCATACGACAGCAGGGTCTCCCATTAGACAGTACATTATGCTTCCAATATCTTCCCATGTGGTAGTACCTCTCTGTTTGATAGCTGCCTATGACCTACTACCATGCAGTCCTGAGTATACTATATTACTGTATACAGCAGGGTCTCAGCCAACAATGGTTTATCCCACACAGATTTGATTGTATCTGCACATGGTTAAATCAATTTGAAAATACGCTTGTCAGCTAAGCAGCTCTGTAGCCCCGGCCACACACTTACTGGTACTGCTGCTCACTTCTCAAACAACGATACCAGCTGCCCATCTACCTTCTTTAGTGCATAAATTTGTTTGCAATGCTGAGCAGAGCGAGAATTCACATTACTGTACATTATAATTTTTCTCAATTTTTAAACTGTTTTTGCTGTGTACTCTAATGCGAGCAGTCTGCTAGTGGTAGTACAGTGAAGAAAGCATATAACAATGGCGATTTTGGGCATACTACAGCTGCCATTACAACTTAAATGAGTCAATCATATGCACTATTAATGCTTGTAAGAGAAATTTGTGTTTGCATAAAGGCTTCCTTTAATTGAAGATGGATAAGTTATTAAGTGTGTGGTTCAATGATCAAATAAACAGTAAAAGCTGTGTTGATGTTGTAGTTATACAGGAAAAACACTTAATTTATACAAACCCGTGATTGTCACTGAAGGTTTTGATTGCAGTGCATTAGACATACATCCTGTAATACATTGTAGGGGGTGACTTCAGTGAATATGACTTATGTGTCCATTCCAACTAAGTCACTTGGGTAGAGTATGTCTGGCTTGTGGTTGTGAGTTTGGGATCCACACTGCAGTGTTTTAGTGAAGGATTTTGGGGATGAAATCATGGAACTCCCATTGATTAAGAGGCGAAAAAATAATAGTGAATAAATACTGTACAGAGTGGAAAGTGGTGGAAGTGCAGCTCACTCCCTTCCGATATTACACATGAAAATAATATAATTGGAGTAAGAGTACGGTATATTGATGATTGCTGGAGATTTTATTTTTTGTACATTAGTGAAAAACTCAGACATAACTACTGTAGATATGTAATCTAAATAAACAAATGTGCATGGATATCTACTTCTCAAAACATTAAGCTTATCTGTAGTCATGCTGCTTAACATAAATTTTGTCCCCAATCATTGTCAGCAAAAAATTGCTGAGACAGAGAATTTACCAACTACTATTGTACAGTGTACATATTCTTAAGAAGGTTATCAAGATTGTTTTGTACTCTAATCCGGAGTCTAGTGTTCTATTTTTTCTATAAGATTTTCAGACATGTTGGTTAAAGGCACAATTTGGTACAGTACTTTACTGTACTGTGTTTAATTAATATTTACCGTATTTGCCGGCACATAAGACGCACCCCTATTTTACAAGGATATTTTGTGTAAAAAAAATTTTTAGTACGTTTCATCATACATTTGTTAAAAGTGATTTTAAAGTGGTTTTGTAGGGGAAAACATGATTTTGTGCATGTAAATACAATATACACTGGAATCAAGTAGGAAATCATATATAGTAACATTATACTAACCCAACTCTACCTCTGATCAGAGCAGCTGTGAGGCTTGTTTATATTTTGGTCAAGAGAAATACCTACAGGATGTGAAACTCGTATTTTTGGCTGTGATGTTTTGTGTTGCCGCGATTTGCCACCAGGGTGTAGCACCATCACTATTGGTTTGGCGTCATCGACTCATTGCAAATGGCTGAATAGCGGCTGAACATTCTGTTAACATTTCTTTAATCTTTCTGGGGGCATTTTTCATTTAGATAATAAACAAATGTTTTTTAAAGGTAACACAATCGTTAAATAATGTAAGACGTGTAATCTGGTGTGAGTTACGTGTGTTGGGGAAGGAGGTACAGTGAGATGTTGTTAGCTTCCCTCTGCTGTTAAGCCAATGTAAGCCATTATTTACGTCTTCGGAAAATTTGCCGTAAGTTTGTTATACAGGTAATAGATTGTGATAATTTGGCTTGTTTTTCAATATTTTATTATTAGTAATACAGTATAAGTATTGTATTAGTAACAATTTAGTTCTTAGTGGCCTGCTTGTCCCAGACTCCCTAGCTAGGCACCTCTGCTTACAGCGCTCGGCCTCCCATCCATAATACAGGCGCATTAGATGCAGGGTAATTTTTGATACATTTTTGTTTTTAAAAATGCGTCTTATGCGCCGGCAAATACGGTATCCTCTATTCAAATTTAAGATTCAAAGCTGTTACTGTACTAAAAACAGAGGGTCAGTTTTCCTTACCTTAGCCGAGTGTAACACAAGCACTGGTTATCATAAGTTTGGAATTTTGTGATTAATACTGATAGGATTAGATAACAGATAACAGGAACTATGAGACAATAGCTTCACAATAATGTACTTGATATGTACGATTGGCTTTTGGTTCACCGACTTTCATTGTGGGTGTTTTTCAGTGTCAGTTGACATTAATTCTTTTGCTCTTTGGAAGAACTATCATCTGTATATACAGTACTGTACAGTACTGTGCAGTATTATGAATGATTTTGCATTGAAGACTCTTATGGTCTTAAAGTGAAGTTGAAGTATAATATTTATCTTCTTTTATTTCATGGGCATTCATATTTACTGTACCATTAAATGCTAAACTTTTTATAATAGTGAATTTTATGAAACTAAAAAATCTCCAAAATGAGTGACTTTTTAAATGAGGTTTTTCCACCACTAGAAAACCAACCACTGGAAAACCCATCTTCTGTGTTAATGAATGAAATTACTCCCAGTTCATTTACAATAAAAATTGCTGAGAATAAAGAGGACGACAGCCATGGAAAAACCAACTGCCAAGACCAAATTTCTTCAACAATGCATAAAGTTCATCCCAATTCCAGTTTGTCAGAAGGTTTTGAGGCTAAGAGTGATAATTACTATATATCTCAAAATGCTTTTACTCGTTCATTAGAGAGCTTCAGGCCAAATGAATATCAAAGTAAAGTCCATATAGACTGGCACAATTATAATGAGATGTTACATGAGAAAGGGATGGAAGATGCAGACCATTGCAGGGAGTCATCAGGAAGTGGCTACCTTTCTTGCAATTCGCAGGGTGAAGAGGTAGTAGACGGCATCATGTAAGTCTTTTTTTTTTTTTTTTTTTTAGAACTTTCACTCTTATATTCTAACTTTAGTCATAATTGAACAGTTATTGAATAATTTAACAAATACATGTACAGTTGCCAGCAAAAGTTCTCCCACAGCCCTGTATAGCCAGTTTATGGGAGGACTTTTGCTGGTAACTGTACATTACTGTACATTTTCCCCATTCAACAGAGATGGGCTTCATAATGTTTGGTTTGTTTTCTTTATTTTCTTTATCACTATAAATTTTAGATGAGGTTTTATACAAATTAATAAATTTTAACAAAGATTTGGGTGAGAGTTGGTACATTTTATTTTCATGTTTGAGTTAAACTTTTCTCTACATTACACAGTTCTCCAGTATTAAAAGTGCACACTCTACTCTGCTTTACTAGTCAGTGGTGGGCACAGCTAAACAAAAAGTTAGCTTCGCTAACCGCTAATCCGCTAACTAAAAAGTTAACTTCGCTAACGCTAAACCACTAAACAGCTAAAAACATTAGCGGAAGCTAACACTAACCGCTAACTTTTATTATATGAATTTAGCTTCGGTTTGTTTGTTTTTGGCTCTAAAACCCTTAAAAACAGACCTAGAGAGCTGAAATTTTCATACATTGTCTTGTAGCTTAGACATAGAGCTTTCCAAAAAGGTATAGCATGCCAAGATCAGATGATGATCAAGGTGTACACAAATAATTAAATGAACAAATGAAATTAAACATTAGTTTACATTCAAGTTTCAACATATACTTTATAATCTTTATTTACTGTACGAAAAGACAGAAAGTATTAAACGAATCCAAAAACTATAGTACTGTATAGCATAGGTAGCAAATAGCATCATGCCAAGATCAGATGATGATCAACTTATCAAGGTGTACACTGTACACAATTTCACAAATAATTAATTTGCATTCTCATACAACCTATCGGCCTTATTCATTATTCATGTAAATATGCAATACCAACCACATACTCATTATACCAGTGCATTTTTATACAGTGATCCCTCGGTTAACGAGCGCCTCGGTTAACGAGATTTCGGTAACGATTTACCTTCCATAAGATTCTTAACTTCGGTTAACGAGCAATCCCTCGATCAACGAGTTTTTTACAAGCCGACTTCAACATGTTTTCGCTTGCATTTGGCGGTCCACCAGCAGTAGTATTAGTCCGCCAATGCAGTACAGTACTCGGTTTTAGGGCTTAAATTCCTTACTATTTTAGTAAATATCAAGAAGTTTATACTATTCAATAATTTTAAAAGTTTAATATTAACTTTTTTAGTCATTTTAACAATTATTGAACATAATTGAAGGTAAAGAAACTAGTTTCTGGCATGCCATCCAGCCTGTTAACACACCAGACAGGCGTTAGTCTCTCTCTGTTTTCAGTGGAGGTAACATCTTGCTTGAGACTCTCTTCAACTAAATGCTTTTTTTCTGTGTTCCAAGCAAATTATTGGTCATTTTGAAATTTATTTTACATATTGACAATATATAATGCAGTGCAGTGTTGATTTAAAGAAAATAATCTTGAATTACACCAAGAGAACTAAAATGTTATGGGTGAAATGGTGCCATGGGATGACTTCTCTTCTTCCTTCTCCTCCACCCCCATTCTAATTCCCATCATCATCATCATCCAGGAGCCTTCTACATACACACCTCAAAGTAAGTGTACTTTTCTACCTTTTTTGTTGAATTTAGGCAATTTTCGGTGAGCTGGAACCAATTACCCAAAAATCCATTGAAACAATGGTTTCGGTTAACGAGTTTTTCGGTTAACGAGCAACCTGCTGGAACAGATTGTGGTCGTTAACCGAGGGACCACTGTATAACTTATTATTGGTCTTAGTCATTATACCAGTGCATTTTTATATAACTTATTGTTGGTCTTAGTCATGTAAATAAACAGAAAATTTTGTTTGGCGCACACCTTGGATGACATCATGGTTGTGAACTTATGCAGTACTTAGCATAATCAAATATATTGACACAAAAAAATCCTAATTAAATTAACAAATGAATGAGAAATGAAATTATACAATAGTTTACAATTACATTCTATGATTCTTTCAACATACACTAACAGTCTTTATTTACTGTAAAAAAAAAGTATTAAACTAATAATCGAAAAATTCCATTCACTCCGGCTGCAGTGGCTGGGCCTTCTCCATTGCCTCGACGTGATGCTGGTTGCCCTTCATAAACATCAGCCTCTCAAAGTTGCCATCTGACAGGGTGGCTCTCTTGGCCCTCAAGATATCTTTGCACGTACTAACACGCAGTCAGCCAAGCGTGCCTGACTGGCTGTTGGAGACACGCGTCGTGGCGTCACACGCTTACAACAGACAGGAACAAACATGTATAAATTTTGTTAGCGGAACTAAATTTAGTGGAAGGTAATTGGTCCACTAATGGTTTCCAAAGTTAGCAAAAACGCTAATCCGCTAGCAAGAAAGTTAGCTTCGCTATTTAGCTGTTAGCGGAACACTGCCCACCACTGCTACTAGTAAAGTTTAAATATGTACATTGTCTGCTGGATTATTAAACTAACAAATACATTCAGACTGCTAGGGTAAGGCTTACAAACTCTGAGGGTTTCTTACTAAATCAACTTATCTGAGGGTTGCACTGAGAGGATTACAATACTGTATTTGGCTAAGATTTGATGCTCAGTTTGCTTAATTAAAATGCTAATGCATGCAGTCTGTGTGGCATAGATTGTGCAATTATTATAACCTTCTGTGAGTATTTTGACATAAACAATTTGTTTCAGTTTGGGTGTTCAGTACAATATATACTGTACTCTAGCATAGTCCTCAAGAGTTCTTTTCCAGCTTCTTCTGTTTATCTGTTTTTGTTAACATGAGTCACCTATGGAATTCATGATAAAAATTTAAAATATTGTAAACAGAACATGTACTGTAGTATTTAATAGATACATTGAAGTATCATATGTCAATTTAGTATGTGACATTTACATATTTTTACAGATTTGATATTAATCACATAATGTCACGCCCACGCTCAGAATCTATTGCATCTCTGGACTACTACCGTACACGTGATACTCATTTGCAGGTACGAATTGTTTTTCTTGTACATATCTTGTACTGTAGTTACCTTTTATGCTTCTTGCATATGTTCCATTAGTAGGGCACTGATCAAGAAAGATGATTAATGATATACAATATTTTCCCATTTTCTAGCTTATGTCCTTCACCAGGCAGCTAGTCATTATACAATCTGCATTCTGACAACTCCAGTTATTTAACCAGGGATGATATTTTAATCCAATTATAAAATATAACTTCTTGAAGTTGGATTCATTGAATCTTTTAGTACTGTATAGACTTGCTTGGGTTTATTAAAAAGAATTGAAGATGGGTCAATTACCATTTATTTCAGGTTTCAGCAAGAGAAGAACTGCAGAACCAGAGACAAGACAGTCCAAATAATGGAAGACAAATGCAGCAGTCACGAAGACTCCCATACTGGCTGTGGTTCATCATAGCTAAAAGTCTGGGCATCAAACTTTCTCCTGAAGACAAGCCAATTCTCGCCACAGTCCTGTATACCCTCACATTTATGAGTGCAATAAGTAATACATTACAGTACTTTTACAACATCAAAGAAAAAATTCTCTTGAAGCTTTTCTAAGGGCAGATCCAAGGGGGGGTCCTGGGAGTCTGGACTCCCTCATTTTCACCAGAAAATTTCAATGTTTTCTTTAATGCAGTATTATACTCAGGCATTTTTGCATTGCAAAAAGTATTTACTAGTGACTTCAGAATACACTGTCTCCTAATATCAAGTGCGCATGGCCTCAAAATGTCCATGATAATGGGTGAGCTCGCTGCGGTCATCATGTTCCCCCACCCACAACTTCTTGGACCCTCCCTTTTGATATTCCTGTATATGCCCCTGATTTCTTATCACCTAACATTGCACAGTCAAACCAGTATTAAGTACAGAACTGTAATAAAATTTGGTAACCTTGATAAGATTACAAAAATAATTAAAATTTGCTTCAAAGTGGATTACTTATACTCTACTCTGCATTTAATAGAAAATTCCAGATCTGTAAACAAAACAAAAATCTTTTACAATCATACGGTTTGGGGTTACTGAGATAATTTTCTGAAATTGCTCAACCCCTGGGCCATTTTTTCTTGAAGAAATTTTATTTATATATATATATATATATATATATATATATATATATATATATATATATATATATATATATATATATATATATATATATATATATATATATATATATATATATATATATATATATATATATATATTATATATATACATGCGCCCGTTAACGTCCTAGATACGTTCTTGGAAACGTGACGAAATGGACGTTGTCCGATCATCACATAAACTTTTTATTTATACTTACGTGTATGTGGAATACTATATACGTACATATACACTTTTACTCTTAAATCACTACTGTAATGTGATACAGGTGATTAATTTTTATCTCTTGTGCAAAATACATGACGTTTATATTAAAATTATTCACTGTTTTACAAGGATTCCAGCAACGCCGGGCAGATGGGGGAGAGAGAGGGAGGGAGCGAGCGAGCGAGGGGGCGTGGGGGAGGGGAGGTAGTACGTTTGACAGTTGGCACAGGCCCAGGTCTAACGCTGTATATTTATCAGTTCTTAGGTGACTAAGCTTCTCTCTTATAAAAAGCCAGTGAAATGACCTGGGTGAATATAATTAACATTGCTGGGATTCTTGTAACATACTGATTAATTTGAATATAAACATGCTATAATTTGCACTAGACAAAACAATTTTAGTACCGTAATCAAATTAGTACATGTGCACTCCAGCTTTGCACTAAGGTCATTTATTTCTATTACGTTTCTTTTAGTATGGTGTGTGCATGTAAATGGATGAAAATAAATGAAGAAATCTATGTAAATCTACCCAAAAATACAGTTGAAAAACTTTTTTATAAAATGTACTACAGTACTGTACACTAATGTACAACAATTTTTATCTCTTGAGCAAAATATATGACATTTATATTCAAATTATTGGCTGTCTTGCAAGGATTCCAGCAATGCAAATTATAATCTCCTAACTTTAGTCTGAGATATTATATAAGATAAAAACTGTAAGCCTAAAATTCTGGCTGGGGGTGAGGGAGGGGGCCAGCCAGTGAAGAGTTGGGGGGTTGAGGTGATAAGTTTGAGCCGAAGATCTCTGTGTGTTTATTTAACAGTCCTACTAAGCTTCTCTCATTTTAAATTGCCAGTGAAATGACCTTGGAGAATATAATTAACATTGCTGGGATTCTTTTAAGATACTGATACTGAATATATACATGTTGTAATTCGCACTAGACATAACAATTTTAGTACCGTAATCAAATTAGTACATGTGCACTCCAGGTTTGCACTAAGGTCATTTATCTCTTTTACGTTTCTTTTAGTATGGTGTGTGCATGTAAATGGATGAAAATAAATGAAGAAATTTATGTAAATCTACCCAAAAATGCAGTTGAAAAACTTTATATTATAAAATGTACTACAGTATTGTACACTAATGTACTACATTTTTATATCTTGAGCAAAATATATGACTCTTATATTTAAATTAATCTCTGTCTTGCAAGGATTTCAGCAGTGCAAATTATATTATCCTAACTTTAGTCTGAGATATTATATAAAATAAACATAAAGAAATCACCAATCTTTTGTCTGGGAACACAATGAGGGTGATAGCCAGCCGAGCGTGGGATGAGGGGGGGAGCAGGGGGGTGGTTGCGGGAAGTGAGGTGACAGTGTCTGGTGTTTGTTTATTTATTTTAGATACCCGGGTAAGATTTGACAGTTGGTGCTGAAGGCCTGCATGTTTATTTATCATTATTTATCATAATTTGCCACCAAAACAACCTGGGTGAATATAACTTACATTGCTGGGATTCTTGTAAGATAGTGATTTATTTGAATACCTGTATAGACAATCTATATTTGCAATAGACATAACAATTTTAGTACATGTACAGTACAGGTCCATTGTTAACCGAGGGACCACTGTATTGCAGTGTACTTGTACTGTACAATATTGACTAAATTCACTAGATAACGTACACAACTAATGGTTGGTAAAACTTGTCAAGTAAGTGAGTGTCAAGTCTGTCAGTATGAGTGGCACGTGTGAGTGCTTGTCCCCCATCATAGGAGTCCGTTTTCTCTCGCTTCAGGATGCCTGAGTCCGTTTTCTCTTAATCTTAGAGTGCAGTGCACCAGAGACTTCGTTATTCCTCAGTAATGACACAGAATTTGAAATTGCAACCCCAATTTCAACTGGGGTTGCAATTGTTGAGGCAACTAGATATGTCTGATTACAGCATTTGCGTTATTGTCAATTTGTAGGTGAAAGATTTTATCCTCAATAGATGTAGGTTAGCATTACACCTGGAGGCAAATGCTTACTAGAGCCTAAGGAAGGATATTCCTTTGACACATAATATCTGGCCAGTATGGGAAGACTCATCGTGTCTCCGTCAGGGGGTCGTGGAGTGGTGGTCCAGCAGGCGTCACTGAAGTGTTGTTTTTTTTTGGGGGGGGGGGCCACGGACGTTGTTCAGTTGGACGTTAACCGGCGCATGACTGTATATATATATATACAGTCAACCCTCACTTTACACGGTCCCACTTTCCACGTTTACACGGTGCCCTGCCAGAACCCAGGATGCTCACATTCTGCGGTGGGTGTACCCCTTTACACGGGTGAAGTATAATTTTTTTATTTAGCTCATAAAATTCATACAAATTATCCGGCCAGAATATAATTTACATTGCTGGAATTCTTACAATTTGATGATCATTTTGAATATAAACCTCATAGGTTTTGCATTAGACATACAAATTTTAGATATAATGTTTACTCTGAGTAAATATGTTATCTTTTGTGCAAAATATATGACATTTATATTCAAAATATTCCTGGTCTTACAAGGAATCCAGCAATGTCAATTATATTATCCTAACTTTAGTCTGATTTATTATTTATTACTAAAAAGGTAAACAGCCTGGTATTCCCACACATTTATCTAGTAGGGACGTTGGTGGGGGGTGGGGGGAGGGAGGGACCGGCGACTGACCACCCGGCATGTGTGAAGAATATTTTTTTTTTTTTATTAACTGAAGATTTTTATTTTAGCTCATAAAATTCATACAAATTACCCGGCCAGAATATAATTTACATTGCTGGAATTCTTACAATTTGATGATCATTTTGAATATAAACATCATATATTTTGCATTAGACATAAAATTTTTAGATATAATGTTTACTCTGAGTAAATATGTTATCTTTTGTGAAAAATATATGACATTTATATTCAAAATATTCCTGGTCTTACAAGGAATCCAGCAATGTCAATTATATTATCCTAACTTTAATCTGAGGTATTATTTAATACTAAATGTTAAAATCTAGTTTTTTCACCCACTCTTTCTCTTGAAGGGAGGGTTGGGACGGACTGACCATCTGGCTCGTTGGAAGAGGGGGGGAGGCAAGGTGGGGTACTTTGATTGACAGATAGTGTCGTGAAGAATATTTTTTTTTTATTAACTGAAGATATTTGTTTTAGCTCATAAAATTCATACAAATTACCCGGCCAGAATATAATTTACATTGCTGGAATTCTTACAATTTGATGATCATTTTGAATATAAACATCATAGATTTTGCATTAGACATACAAATTTTAGATATAATGTTTACTCTGAGTAAATATGTTATCTTTTGTGAAAAATATATGACATTTATATTCAAAATATTCCTGGTCTTACAAGGAATCCAGCAATGTCAATTATATTATCCTAACTTTAGTTTGAGGTATTATTTATTACTATACCTGGTTTTCCCCCCAAAATTTCTCAGAGAGGGAAGAGCCAGCAGTGTAGTGTGAGAAGGGGGGAGGGAGTCGTGTCCATTATTTGAATGGACATTAACTTGGCGACTGTATTTCTCTATTTCTCTTAAGTATTAATTGTGTGCATGTACCATCATAAAATTAAGATGTTATTTTTACTAGAACATAGGTATTGTGTTGGAAAAAGTGGAGTTTGGGGGTCAGCTGGTCTCTATTTCATTTAATCCCATATGTTATGTTATTCACTTTACGCGTTTCTCACTTTCCGCGGTACCCTGTGGGTTACATTAACCGCGTAAAGTGAGGGTTGATATGTATATATATATATATATATATATATATATACAATATGTATGTATGTATATATATATATATATATATATATATATATATATATATATATATATATATATATATATATATATATATATATATATATATATATATATATATATATATATATATATATATATATATATATATATATATATACAGTGAACCCTCACTTTACGCGGTTAATTGAACCCACGGCGGCCCGCGTAAAGTGAACAACATAACATATGGGATTAATTGAAATAGAGACCGGGCCGACCCCCAAACTCCACTTTTTCCCGACACAATACGTACGTTTTACTAAAAATAACATCTTAACTTTATGATGGTATTCACACACACATAATATAGAAGGGAACAATCAATAAGAGAATAATATACTGAAGGTTAGGTTAGAAAAAAACAAGGTTAGGGTTAACACTTACGTTAGTAGAAGAGATGGGTCGGCGTACGGGAATGGAGGCTGGTTCCGAGGCAGAGGGCAGGCTACTGGCCCTCAGGTGAGTCTTCATCACTGTCATCCACACTTACTAGTGCCTCCCTGACAAATCCCTCAAAGTCATCATCACTGTCTCTGTCACTATCACTGGCTTGGGCTGGCTGTGGTGGGTTGCGGGCGAAGAACTCGGTTATGCTTTGCTGACGGCTGGTGTTTATGTTGTCGTGATACACCTTGATGTAGGGCTCCATAGTCTGCAACAGCTGGGTAGTGAAGATTTCATACCTGTTAGCATCAGGGTCGTCGGAAAGGAGGAGCTTGACTTTCTCAATACACTCGATGGCACCCCTTACATTACTATCGGCGTTCTTCTTGGGATGACGCACCACCTGCCTCTTCACTGACGTCATCATCATCTACCATCTCGTCGGTAGTCACATCAGGATCCCTTATCACCTCCAGGATGTCGTCGTTGGTGGTCTCGGAGAAGCCTGCAGCTGTAACACTCTGCGCAGCTTCTCTGGCAAGGTCCACTGCTACTGCAACAGTCTGAACCTCACCAGTCACAGATTTACTCTTCCTCCCACCCGGAATACCTTGCAACACATGTCTCCATGCGTGACGAACAGTTGCTACAGACAGCTGATCCCATGCCTCCACCAAGAAGTCCACAGCTTTCTTGACATTGAATGTTCTCCAAAATTGTCTCACAAGTACTTCTTGCTCTGCCAACTGTTGATCCTCGTCGTCTTTGATCTTGCTATCGGTGTTGGTGTCACTCAGGTTATGCAACTCTTCCTTGGTGTTGGTGTAGTCGTTCAGGAGCTTGAATTTCTTGGCAGAGAATGCAGCTTTCACATTACAGATCAATTCTTGGTCCATGGGCTGTATTATAGACGTAGTGTTGGGAGAAAGGAAGACCACTTTTACGTTGGGGTGACGATCTAACAGTAGGGGCGAGTGTCCTGGTGCGTTGTCAAGCAGCAACAAAATCTTGAATGGAACATTGTGTTGCTCACAGAATTTCTTAACGTCAGGAACGAAACAGTCATCAAACCAGGAGAGGGACAGAGTAGAGAACATCCACGCCTTACGTGCGGTCAGCCAGTGGACATTTAGCTTGGTCATGTCCATGCTCTTGTAGGTGTGCGGCTTGCGTGCTGTGTGGATCACCGATAACTTGAGTTTACAGGTACCGGAGGCATTGGTGGTAAACAGGACGGTGATGCGCTCCTTCTGCAACTTCCGGCCCCGACACTTGCTGGCATTCTTCACAACGAAGGTCTTGGAAGGTAGCTTTTTCCAAAAAAGACCAGATTCGTCCATGTTATACACCTGGTCATCGGTGTACTGTCCTTCCTCCATAATCTCACGTAAAAACGGAGGAAATTCCCTAGCCGCAACACGGTCAGCACTAGCTTCTTCACCACCAATGTTAATATTGGTGACCTTGTTCCTCTTCTTAAACCTCTGTAACCACCCAGAGGAAGCATTAAAGGGTTTGGGCTCTGCAATTCCCATCTAAGTTGTTAAGTAGTGGTAGAAAGGCTTTTAAGTCCTCATTACATGGCCAAAGACATACAGTATTACATCATCTACATATTTAAACCAAACTGCTGATGGTGGTAAACTATTCCTTGTAGTTTCTTCTCAAAAATTTCCATATATAAGTTGCTCATTACTGGTGAAAGAGGATTACCCATTGTCATGTCAAATTTTTTAGCATAATATTCTCCATTTAATTCAAATTTACAATCCTTAATGCACAGTTTGATAAGTTCAATGAAAAACTTTTTTTGAGATGGGCAAGAATATTTTCCCCAGGGAATATGTGAGGAACTCGAGCAAATTATCAACTGGGACCTTTGTAAAGAGTGATGTTACATCAAAACTGACCAGTTTAAAATCATAATCAATATTATTCTTAATATTAGAGTTTGATATGTTGCTAACTCGGGGGTTTAGTAGAGAAACTAGCCATTTAGACAACTTACCGGTATAAGTGATTGATCCGAAAAAAATTTCATTGAACTTATGATGGGAAAGTACAGAAAGACAGTACAGTATATGAGAAAATGTACGATATATAAATGAAAAAAGAAATGCAGACATTGTACAGTATCATACACAATCTTAACATCTAGGATGGTTAGGTAGGGTAGAATTGTATTTTTGCATATTGACAAGAATTATAAACAAACCATAAAAAACTTGAATGGCTAAAGTTTGGGTTAGAGAAAATGCCTTTTAACAGAAATCCAATCAAGAGAGAGCTCACTGTGTAAGAGGTCACTTTTGTGATAAATCAGGAAATGGCCCTGAAATTAACTTTTATGGCTGAACCCTGACAGGTCAACATTTGGTCAACTTCTGGAATCTTTAATTGTACAGTAACTGGTTCACTAGACAGGTGTAGAGTGCACAGGCTGATATGATGTCACAGCTCCTTATCTTTTACCTCGGTGGTTGACTGTTGTTTCTGAAGATCCATTTTCAGGTATTTGGCTATAATGGGACTGCATTAAATATTAATGAATTAATCCTAGCCACTCATGTCTCGAGGTTATTATGGATTTACAACCCTTGGATTCAGTGCTATAATACAAAAGTTGCTTATTTCAGGCTTGGTAATGAAGCAAAATTTCAGTGTCAAATTTTACGGTAATCCTATTCAGCACGCTCCCAGCTTCAAGATGGCTCAGACATAGATGAAATTATATGTATAAATTTTATTTTAGTCTAAATTATTAATGATATTAATGAAGAATTAAGTCAAGCAGGAATGTTAAACCTATTCAGAGTACAATGAAGGAGCACTGGTACATAAATTTTGTCATCAAATTTAATTTCTTCCACAGCTTACTTCCTAAGTGACTGGTGGTTTACTGCTTCTGATATTGTGAGCGACTACACGAAAACAACGGTCATCGATGGCACTATCAGTATATTTTTTACTTTGCTTTGGGGAGCTCTCTCCTTGTATGCCAATAATCTAGCCTACAGGTGGGTACCATCTCACGAATTACATGTGAAAACATTGTCTCAATTAAAATTAGTTTTAGGTCAGTCTCTTTTAGATACAGTGGACTTTGTGAGACTGTATTAAAATTTTAAAGTAGTTATGCAATATAAGAAAATATTGATAGCCTAGTGTCAGTCAAAAGAAATTAGTGTTAATCACTCATCGCGACTACAAGTTGCAACCTATATTAACCCTCAGTATTGGTGGCTTGTACTCATTAGATATTTATAACTCATTTGCCTCAAGTTTACCACTACAGTATTGGCTGAGAGATAAGCAAATCTTAATGCTGCAGCAACTTGTGGAACCAGACCTTTCCTTGTCCTTCTTCAGCCGTGCTGGATTTCCAGTACAGTAAGTCCTCACTTAACGCCGGGGTTACGTTTCTAAAAATGCAACGTTATACGAAACAATGTTAAGCAGATCAATTTTCCCCGTAAGAAATAGATAAAATACGGGAGTTATGTTCCTGAGCCTCCCTTTGCCCCATGAAATATATTACATATACAGAAAATCATTGCCATTTCTTTAGAAAATAATGCATACATATACAACTACTACATTTGTATTGGTACTCACCGATGGGCGGAGGTGGTAGAGCGAGTGTGTGGTGGGTAGTGAAGCAGAGGAGGCGGATGGCGGGCGGAGGAGGAGGGTGGTGAGTCACTGAGGCTCTGCGCCGAGCCGAGAGAGGGTGATGCGCCGTAAAAAGAAGTCCGTGACGACGCAAAACGACGTAGTATCTGATCACCGGCACGTTAAACGAACTTTTGGTCTTTTAAGTTTAGCGACGTAGTACCGAAACAACGTTAAGTGCGGACTTACTGTACAGGCCTTAGTCCAGATGTCTCACATTTTCAAAGCAGTTGCTGTTTCCACCAGGTCACTACAGGCTTCTCTCCAGCTTGATATTATGTCCACTGTAGATACACAGCATGCATATCGGACTCACTTTCAGTTTCTCACTTGCTTCTTTTTACTTTTTCTGTAGTACCTGTAATTCAGTTTCTCCTCCTAAAATAATGTATGCCAATTAGTTTGAAAATAAAAGCTTATTCAACTCAGAGTCTACAGAAAGTAGCCAAGGTGGACATCCACTTATTGATTTGTTGGTTTTAAAATGTGGTTCCAGTCAGGATAATGAGGATAGGAAGGCCTCAGGATATGGGAGCTAGGTAAGCCAGGCAACACAGGGAGTGGCGCTGATCTATTCTGTGGCTCTGCTCAACATTAGACCGATTAATAATGACTGTTTTTTCCTCCGATGAATTTAAGGAGGCATTAATACTGTAAATCTTCATCACTAATTTATTAAAATTGCTATTGTGTATTGCCCTTGTCACCCAGGTACAGATAGGGACTTCATGGATCAATTTTGCTTGTTTTTTGAGACTTTTTTAGGAAAGAAAGGGCAACAGTTGGTCTGTGGTGACTTTAATTATTGGGTCAATAACCCATCTCTGAACTTTTTTCCTCTTGAGTTCTTGGAAATTCTCGATCTAAACAATTTTTCCAATCATGTGTCTTGTCAAACACATTTTTCTGTACACACTCTACTGTAGGCCTAGTTTTGTCTCCTGCTAACTGTAACCGTGTGTTAGATGTTGCAGTTGACCTGATTGATCCAGCAGTCTCTGACCATGCTTTAGTTGCTTTTGGTTTTAATGTCCCAAGACCCTCTTCTTACATTTAAACAATTACTTTGGGGAACTATAGAAACATTGACCAGACCATGATTGATCAAGAAGTCGATCATTCTTTGAACTGGATCGACTCCTTTATTATGTCCTTTGATGAGATGGTTAAATTACATACTGATGTCTTCCAGTCCATTTCAGACTGTTATTGTCCAGAGGTCACAAAGAGAATTACAGTACAAGATGACTCTCCATGGTATGACTCGTCTATTTGTTCTCTTCATAGGGATCGTAGAATTGCTGAACAAGAGTGGCATAGGTGGCAAATAGACCTTACTAGATCAGGGTATATAACTATGAATAGGGCTGTTGTTTGTTCCGTGAGGGCTTGTGCTTAACCAAAAATGTCACTGTTTATGTCATTGATGCAGGTACAGTACTGGTAATAAGATGGCTATACAGATGCCATCTCACAGGTCACTTCTTCATCCCTTCCTAACCATAAAATTGGGCATCACAGGCCACTACATATCTTTCTATTGGTATTCCTTTGTTATGTCTGTTGTTGCAGATTGTTCAGCCACAAGAAGTTTTTGGACATGTTGAGACTTCATTCTAAAACAATACTGAAGATGAATGCTTCCATTGTGTTGTTCGCACTCATGCTTCTTCTTGCAGTCTTTAATAATATTAATGCCTTCCCGAACTTCAAAGATGAAACTTGTCGAAGAGGTGAGTAAATTTACTTGTTACCATTCATTACTTGTTGGGTGTTTACTCATGTTTGGGGCTATAAGGTATTGTTTATGCACTAGTATCTAATTACCGGGCATTAGCTAATTGTAAACAAACCAATTTTAAATAGTTATTCATTATCAAGTTATTAATGTAAACTATTTTAACTATCAATATCAATCTTTATAATGTACCTGTTAGCAAACTAATATTTTTTTAAACCTTCCTAATTGTAGCAAATATTCAAAGAGGATATACAACTAGTCATAAACAAATTGAAATAAAGGAAAATTATTGCAGTGGATGGTATAATACCGGAGCAAAGGGTGAAAAAAATCCTCTTGTTTTCCAGTGGCCCTCGATGTGTTAGTCTGCAAAGTGAGGTATATTTCACGAGTCGTGTTGTCAGTGTTTGCAGTAATATGGAACTACCTAGTGGCTTTTGTTCTTGTTTCCACCTGCCGCACCCATGTCATAGGTATTGTGATTTTGTTTCCCTACATTAGATACAGTATTTCTATAATTGTTATATAGGTATTTGTGTTTATCCATTAAGTGCTTTGGAATTTTTGTCTGGAAAATTTTACATAGAACTAATTTCCCTTTACATAACCCATTTTTATAATGGAATGTTACAGTAAATAACAATGAGATATTTATATAGGCTGTTGAGTTGTAGTAGAAAATTTTATTGAACTAAATAGGATATGCTAACATATATTTACCTGTACATATACAGGGAAGCCCCGTTTTGTGATGGTTCAAATAACGACGATTTGTATGTAAAGCTATCTAATTTAGGGCCTAATTCAAGTTACACTGAAATTGTATTCGTATTTACGACAAAATCCGTACCCAAAAAAAATTTATACAGTACAGTAGAGTACAGTACAGTTAATATTAAATAATAAATAAACAATAATATAAAAATAAATAACATTTCATTTAAAAAAATACTCCATACAAGGTAAATGCACACGGAGGTTGGCGAGCTTCTGACCTGATGCTGCTGACGTATTCAGTAATTAGTTGATGACTTGTTGTACTGTACAGTTATGTGTGATCATACAGACAGTATATTGGCCCTCCATCAAAGTTGCACGTATATCGAGCAGTGGTCCTGCCCACCCTGCTATATGGCAGCGAGACATGGGTCACATACAGGAGGCACCAATGGTAATTATTTGTCTGCGATGTGCTGATTCACCTTACACTGCAATATTGGCAGACACATGTCCGTTGCAACTCGAGGCTTTCCTGTAATTGCTTTTTTATGTCACTTGTGGATAATTTTTCCATGAATGAGGTTATTTATAGCTGGGTTTCTTGCATTAAGATTATTAAATTATCCTCCAGTACATGTGCTAAGTTATAAAATTATCACCCATATCATTCTGAGAATTGGTTCAAATGATACATGTTTCCATTTGCAGGGATCCGCAGGTTTATGCAGGCACTAGAGCAGGACTCTCGTGTTTATGAATCAAGATATATGGGTTTAGCGCAACAGGCAAACACAGACAGGCCAGTACTAGAAGGTAATATATGACAAAATATAGTCTTGGTACTCTATTGCTGTGTCACATTGGCAGTATGTAAATTCATCCTCTACTATGAGGCTGATAGTGTGTCAGACTAGTCAGCCTACAATAGTTTCTCAACCACAATTCCTACAATAACTTCTTCCTTTGTTTTACCTTTCCCTAGCTCCAAAATACAGTACAGGTTGTACCTCTCTAGTCCGGCATTCTGTGGTCCGGAAACTCCCGTGGTCTGGAACAATTTTAGTTTGTCCAATAGGTAGATAGGCAGCTTTTTTTTTTTTTTTTTTTTATATACTTTTCTGAATTATTATTATTATTACAGGAGTATTAAATTTTTGCCTTTCAGGCCCCAATGTGGGTCAGTGACCTATGCCCAGGTGGGCTAATCCCTGTAAAAAAAAAGAACAACAAAGCCGCGGGAAATTAAGGTTTGTTTACATCCGGCAGTTCGGCTGCTCTCTCTCTCTCTCTCTCTCTGCTTGTCTATACAGAGTACAACATTTAACCCTTCAATATATATGAGCAGTAAAAAGTGTTGCTCTCATATTCTTATGTAGAGTAATGACGATATATTTTCACATGTGCGCACTTACATACGCACAGTCTCACTTTTTTTTTACCATTAATGGTTAGCTACTTATATTGTTCCATTTATTAACATTAAATAACATTACAGGTACTTCAAACAACCATATTATTTTTTTTACATTAATTTTACTACAGCTTCAATCAGGGTCTTATTTTCTTCAGTTTTATATGTAGAACCAGTCAGTCACTGGTTTTGTAAGCCTTAACATAAACAATGCCGGCAGCCGTCTCGTCTTCTCGTGTGTTTTAATATTCCACGTATTATTAATAAATTGTATTGTTAATTTTGCACACACAAACATTTATTCAATAAAAACAAATTCAGAAACATTAATTAAAATATATATGAACAGTAAATAAGTGTTGCTTTCATATTCTTACGTAAAGTAATGATGATATGTTTTCACGTGTGCGCACTTACATACGCGATCTCTTTTTTCTTTACCATTATCGTAAGCTACTTCTATTGTTCCATTTATTAACATTAAATAACATTACTTAAAACAACCATATTAATTTTACTACAGCTACAACCAAAGTCTTATTTTCTTCAGTTTTATATGTAGAACCAGTCAGTCACTGGTTTTGTAATCAACGAAAACAATGCTGTGTCATTTCCTCTTGTGTTTTAATATTTTACGTATTATTAATGAATTGTTTTGCTCATTTTGCACACATAAACATTAATTCAATAAAAAAGACATTCAGTAATAAACAATAATGAATCTTTTGTACATAAGAGAAATGACGCGGTTTACACGATTATGTACGTCGTCTGCACGTTGGCGGGCCGTTCAAACCCGTCGAAATTCAAGTTTCCGCTGTCAACATTTTTATTTATTTTATTTTTTTGTGTGTTCCAATAAAATACGTTGAATTAAAAACTCGCGAAATTTGAGAAGCTACTATACTACATTTAACCCTTCAATATGTTTTAAAAGAGACCATGATGCAGAGAAAGTGGTGTTAGTGCTTCCAAGCATAAGCACAAGTCACTGTCTATCCAGGAAAAGGGTGAATTTCCATGGTCCGGCAATTTCTATGGTCCGGCACCGGTCAGGTCCCGAGGTTGCTGGACTAGAGAGGTACAACCTGTACTGTACAGTATCTTCAACCACAGCAGAAGAATCCTTTTGGCTCTGGATATTTTTAATCCCACTTACTTTCCTTAACTACTCAACAGAATCCTCTACAACAGACGAGGCAGAAAATGCCATATACAGCATGTCCTTAAAATTTGCGGGGGGGGGGGGTCTCAAAATGGCTGCGAATAGCCAAATCCGCGAATATCATTTGCTGACCAGAGGAGGGTGGGTACATATTTACTCATGTGCAAATAAATGTATATTCTCTTTATGTCTTTACCCTTAGGACAATTATTTCTTTTACTTGTACATGTGTGTGTGGGTGTGTACACACAAAACACATACAAGTTCATAATAATGGGAAAATCCTCTCACAAATAATCAGAAACAAGACAACAAAATGTATCAAAATGTAGAAAAAAAAATGTTAGTCCACCCTCAAATCATCTCCATACTTTGTTCTTAAAGTTGAGCTGGTTGGGTTACCATACGGCAATTTTTTCCTCATAAAAATTACTGTCTCTAGAACGAATGGTATCTGAGCGCCAGCTGGGTTAATACGTAGATCAAACTTACAGAATTTCTTTCATAGTCATCTAGCCAACCCGGCATGGAAAATGCCGGCAACTTTTAAACTGTCTGCAGACATTCTTGGGTACATCCAGGGTGTCATATGCGAATAATCATGGACCGCAAATTAAAAATTTGCGAATTATAATGGCATGCTATACTCTATGATTGATCCGTCTCCTGGTAAACTAGAGTGCCCTATTGAGGAAGCAACCATTACTACTGCTTGTGATAAAAGTAACTGACATAAAGATGGAAAATTCTTTACCCACATAATATGTCCCACTCCTCCTCCTCTTGTTTGGTTAAGCAGTCCAGGAGCTTTTGTAATACCTTGAGTTAGCTGAGTTTGTGTTGCAAGAGCTACTTTGTTTAAGGGTAATAATTAGAAATGACAGATTTTTGTGATACCCCTTCCTTTTTTCCCCCGCTTATCAGCTTATTAGCTGTTTAGGCAATTGGTACAGGAGGAAACCAGACTCCGGGAAACCTGTGATGTTTGGTACAGTTCACTGGATATCACTTTTCTCACATGTGTCTGGGCCTAGCAGAATTTGAACCCACTACATATTGGTGAGAGATACACCTGTTACTGCTGTACCACCAACACATGCTTTAACAAGACTTTAAGCCTTTTAGGACACCAGTGTATCATGCTGGCAGTACAGGGGGACAAAGAAGGGTACTGGGTTTATCCAGAAGAAATTGCGGTGCAGTACTCATGGAAAAAAAAATAACCCAGGCAGATGTGGGAGGCATTGTAAGTTGCCTTGTGACCTGCTTGGCTTCAATCTACAACTGGAAAATAATTTTTTTCTTCTTTTCTTTTCAAGTATGAATAAAGATTTTATTTTCAGGTATTTACTACCCATTGGGCAGTTTTGGCTAGAGGAGTTTTGTCATCCTTAAGTTCTTCGATGATGTTAGACTTTTTGGCTTCAGAACCTTAACTTGAATTTCCACTCACTTATGAACACAGTATTGCATAGGTCAGGGGTGGGCAATTATTTTTGATGGAGGGGTCACTTCATGAATGGTGGCACACTTCGCGGGCCACACACTTAATGTAGATGCAAATGTATTATATTAACACAAAGTAAAGCCTTGTATTTGTAAATACAAATGCAGTGGCGAGCCACAGAAATAATTTGGCGGGCCAAATGTGGCCCGCGGGCCATACTTTGCCCACCCCTGGCATAGGTGCATTACCCATAAGGAGAGGAAGTTTCTTTTTTAACGATTTGGGGTCTCTGGATCAAAGGGTAAAGGTAATGTGTTGTTTAGTGGTAGACCCTGCTGCCATATGGCATCACAAAAATTGTGACCAAGACCCAGGTTGCGGATCTGACTTTCTGCCTCATTTGCATACTATTGCAGGTCTCAATTGTTTCTCTCACTTTGACAACACAACATACATATATCGTTTCTCACTCTTGATCTTTTTTTCTTTTTTTTATGGTTCTTTATTATTATTATTATTATTATTTTTTTTTTTTATTAAAACATTTTTGCCCCCCAGGCCCCGATGTGGGTTAGTGACCTGTGCCCGGGTGAGCTAATCCCTGTTTAAAAAAATAAAATAAAATTTTTAAATGCTATAGTATAATTTGGTGTCCTATGCAGATCTGTGTTTCCATGTACAAAAGAACTAGTTATTGCATAGGTATAGTAGGTTTGATGTCCATGAGTCAAGAGTCATGAATTTTGCAAATACTGTGCTGTACAGTATTTTGTTTATTTATATGACTGGAGTAAACAAAGTAAATTCAAAGATTTCATGGTTATGTAAGATATTGACATTGTTTTACTAATCCTTGCATCACCTTGACCTCAGAATATACTTGGTTTGATGAAGACTATTTGGATGAGCTGCGTGACCCAGGTGGCAGCGACATAGATTCTAATTCCGTCGCCCTCATTCCCCAGCAGGTATTGTTTATACAGTACAGTAGTCATTCTTATAATGAAATTTAGTTGATATGTAGTGCTTTTTTAATATTTGAAACCCTACATTAATTTTCTTCCTCTTTTAATACCCTGTTTATTTTTATGCCCCACTTGTATATTTCAGGGGGCACATGACTTGGACCATATCATCTGTTCATACTCTTCTACTAAACAAGATTGTCAGTTAGGTTACTCAAAAAATATTCATTCCTGAGCCCTGAGATTTTGTAAATAATATTGATGCATTCTTGAAATACAGTCATGCGCCGGTTAACTTCCGAACAACGTCCGATTGCATATACGTCCGTGCCCCCCGCAAAAAAAAACCACGTGACGCCTGCTGGACCACCACTCCACGACCCCCTGACGGAGACACGATGATCCTCCCCATACTGGTCAGATATTATGTGTTAAAGGAATATGCTTCCTCACTTAGGCTTTTCTAAGCATTTGCCTACAGGTGAAATGTTAACCTACATCTATTGAGGATAAAATCTTTCTCCTACAAATTGACAATAACACATTTCCTGTAATCAGACATATCTAGTTGCCTCAACAATTGCAAGTTACAATTGCGGTTGCAATTTCAAATTCTGTGGCATTACTAAAAATAGTAAAGTTTCTGGTGCACTCTAAGATTAAGAGAGAAAACGGAGGACTCAGGCGTCCTGATGTGAGAGAAAACGGACTCGTATGACGGGGAACCAAATAAAAAAAGCATAGCTACATTTTTTGTGGACTACAGTATTAAGCGTACCCTTTTCATCACTATGTAATAAACCTAGCCATGCCTATGTGTGTTTATGATATTTACCATAACATTATATACCGGTATATATTTAGTGGGTCTAAATGGTCGTAAAATGGGTGTCTGAACCAATTAGAATAAATCCCATAGGTTCTGTACTTTCGTTATCGGCGGGGTCCCAATTAGGCGCGATAACCAAGGGATGACTGTATATACTTGTGACACTGGCCAGTTGCTTCTGGTGTTATGGTACAGGGGTACCAAGTGACAGCACTAGGATCCCGCTTCCTCTATCAAGGAATAAACAATTAAAATTTAAATTGAAAAAAAAAAAACATTCAAATAAATTACTATCTTACAAGAATCCCTCCAATGTAAGTTATATTCACCAGGTCGTTTGGGTGGAAAATTATGAGAGGAGCTTAGTCACTCTTAAGTAATGATAAATAAACACGCAGGCAGGCCTTCAGCGCCAACTGTCAAATCTTATCTCAAATAAATAAACAAAACAAACGCCAGACATTCTGTCACGGTACTAAAATTGTTATGTCTAGTGCGAATTACAACATGTTTATATTCAAATTAATCAGTATCTTACAAGAATCCCAGCAATGTTAATTATATTCTCCCAGGTCATTTCACTGGCAATTTAAAATGAGAGAAGCTTAGTAGGACTGTTAAATAAACACACAAAGATCTTCGGCTCAAACTGTCAAACATATCACCTCAACCCCCCCACCCTTCACTGGCTGGCTGGCTGGCTCCCTCACTCCCTCTCCCCCAGCCAGAATTTTAGGCTTACAGTTTTTATCTTATATAATATCTCAGACTAAAGTTAGGAGATTATAATTTGCATTGCTGGAATCCTTGCAAGAATCCTTGCCAATAATTTGAATATAAACGTCATATATTTTGCTCAAGAGATAAAAAATTTTGTACATTAGTGTACAGTACTGTAATACATTTTATAAAAAAGTTTTTCAACTGTATTTTTGGGTACATTTACATAGATTTCTTAGTGCAAAACTGGAGTGCACATGTACTAATTTGATTACAGCACTAAAATTGTTTTGTCTAGTGCAAATTATAGCAAGGTTTATATTCAAATTAATCAGTATGTTACAAGAATCCCAGCTATGTTAATTATATTCACCCAGGTCATTTCACTGGCTTTTTATAAGAGAGAAGCTTAGTCACCTAAGAACTGATAAATATACACGCATTAGACCTGGGCCTGTACCAACTGTCAAACGTACTACCTCCCCTCCCCCCACGCCCCCTTGCGCCCTCTCTCTCCCCCATTTGCTGGCGTTGCTGGAATCCTTGTAAAACAGTGAATAATTTTAATATAAACGTCATGTGTTTTGCACAAGAGATAAAAATTAATCACCTGTATCACATTACAGTAGTGATTTAAGAGTAAAAGTGTATATGTACGTATATAGTATTCCACATACACATAAGTATAAATAAAAAGTTTGTGATGATCGGACAACGTCCATTTCGGTTAACGTCAAGTTTCCAAGAACGTATCTAGGACGTTAACTGGCGCATGACTGTACTTCAATAAATATAGTACAGTAGTTGTTTGATTTATCTACAATGCACAAGTCTAGTTGAAGTTGCATTTACATTTTTCTTTATAGGGACTAAATGTTAAGAACACAGTTCTGTATCTTACTGTTCTGCTTAAAGTCAGAGCAAATAAATTAGAAAGGGATAATGCTGATTGAAGTATTTAAGCTTGATTAAAGGAGTAAACTAATTAGTCAATGTAAACAGATTAAAGATTGAAAAATTTAATCCCATTTTATAGCCAAGGGGAAGAAAGCTGAAAGCTAATAATTTTTGTCTCTCCATGAATACATGCACTCCAGATTTGGGAGAGTTGGTAGTGGCCCCAGTTATAACTATATGAGGTAGAAGGAGTCTTTCTGCCCATAGCAACAGACTCCCTGAGTAATTCTTGATTGAATAGGGCCCAGCTGGAGTTAGGGGGAACATACTCATATGTATCCTTTAAAAGATATTAATAGAAAACAAGTGTTTGGAAAGGTTGATAGTTAACATATACAAGAAGGAAAGGAAGGAAGGAAGAAGGTCAGAAAAGAAGACACAATTAGGAGAAATAGTAAAAGATAAGGCAAGGAAAGCATTCATTAAAAGAATATTGTGGAGTTTGAGAAAGTGTGACAGACCACAAAATGGTGCAATAGTGTCAGTGTATCCACAGAAATGAACCATTAGTGAAAGAAAGAACTTCCCCTTAACTCCACTATAGTATTTCTTTGGGTAGTTGAGTCCAGTTGTTGTGTTGTGTCTTTAATCACTATTATTATTTTTGTTTGTTTGCAGAGGAATCAAGATGACAATGAGACCAGTGAGCAACGAGTATCATCCTCTGGGACAACGTCAATCACTGTACCAGTTTCTTCTCCTGTAGAAGGGAGTTTGCCATCTACATCAAGTACACAATCTTTTCAGCAAACTTTTTCAGTTCCTACAGAGGTGACTTGCCCCACCAAGGTGAAAATACCACACCCATTTAATTTAAACACATAATTACTGATTGTTAAGTTTATGTCTGTAGATAGATACAGTAAACCCTCAATATAACGGACCAATTGGGGGGAAAGGTGGTTCATTAAATCTGATGTATTAAATATTTAAGCCAGAAAATAAAGAAAAAATACAAGTATCAGTGATATCCCCGTTAGCCAGAACAATTGGTGCAGACCACTTCCGGAGACGAGATATTTTTGGCTAACCAGACGACTTTCTCAAACCTGGAAAAATTCCTTATCCCCGGAATCTTTTCGGGTTACTGGGAAAAGTTTCCGAGCGTCTAAACTACTGTAGACATCTTCCACAGACGGACACTAGCCTACTTCCCCAGAACGTGTCTAGGTGCTGGGGATGTTTACCTTGAGTCTAAACTACTGGAGTCCGTAAATGCAATTATAATTTAGAAACTCCATTTCTTTACTATCATAATCCAGAATAGTTTATCTAAAAGTTTGCTTAAATAAATATATTTAAAAATTCAAAATCTATATGATATGGGCGTGAATGAAACTGTGTGTTACAGCAATGACTGGTATTTTCCACTCCCATGGAGTTGTGGGGGATAACTGGATCTCGTGTAACTGACCTGATGCAATGTCAGGTGGAGGTGGGTGGGGGATTAGTGGTCTCGTATTACTGACCTGATGGAATGTCAGGTCACCCTTTCTTGGCCGGGGGATTAGTGGGTCTCATGACCTGAAGAGGTCTTGAATAAACACGAAACCTAAAGTAATTTTAGGGAGATTGTGATAAGTATAAATGAGCAAAGTTGTATCCCTTCAACATTGTGTTACATAACAATTTAAAACATGGAGTGAGAAAGCAGAAAAGTGTGGGTGATTAGAGATGGAGTGGAAATGAGTGTTGTCAAGCGCTCCTCAACAGCTGATATTAGTCACACACACACAGATGTGTCACACAATAAGACCCTCACTTCTCATGCTTGCTGTCTTAATTCTCTTGGTGTGCGTGCGTGCTTGCGTGTGTGTGTGTGTGTGTGTGTGTGTGTGTGTGTGCTGAGAGTGGGGGAGTCGAACTTGTTTTGGGGGTGAGGGGGCAAGGTCGTGTGGTCACTTCCACCCCCCCCCCACCTTCCTCACTCAAGCATGGCTAATTGTGATGGGGAGATGAATTTGATACCATAATAATCCTTAATAAATTCTCTCCAAGATGTTTCCAATAAGATATTCTTAAACGAAATATTTTGATATGATATAATGATGGGAATTCTATTCTTTTATTGAAAAAAAAGAAGTAAGAAATGTTGATACTGGAGTCAATAAAATCATTCTAATTTCATTAGACACCATTCTTTTAACAAAATAATCCTGAATACTTTATCAAAATGTTTAGTTAAATAAATACATTTAAAAAAGAAAATCTCTATATGATATGGGCCTGAATAGAGCTGTGTTACAGCAAAGACAGTGTGGTATTATTTTTCCAAGAGTAAACGAGGCAGGTCGCAGGAGCTGTAGTTTTTTACGCAAACTCCATTGTACGTATGCAATATTGTTCATACTGTAAACATAATAATGTACAGTCGGCCCTTAACATACATGGGGGTTAGGTAACAGAGATACCCGTGAATGTTAAAAATCCGTGTATTATTGCTGCCCTAAAAAAAACCCTGGCCCCCATGTCCTTATTTACCATATATACCCGTGTGTATGAATTTTTATGACCAAATTATTTGGCAAAAAATTGGGGGTCGACCTCTAAACGGTCATAGTTTCGTTAGGTTGAAAAATATTTACCAGTAAATACCAGTAAACAATGGAAACGACTCACCAATGCACCACCAGCTGTAAGTGTCGGTACAGTTGCCAGGGCAGATCTCTTGCGTCATCATAGCAAGCGCAAAGTAGCCAAATGCATGGTATGGTATGCACAGGACGATGTAAAACATAAAGTATTCATTTTTTAAAGTTTATTTATAGATACTGTACATAAATTTTTGTTCATTTCATTTGAAACGTCAAGCTTTGTTAATTAAATTTGAAACAAAAGAAAACTACGATACCGTATTTTCATTAAAATATTACATCACAAGTATATTTTACCTTAGCTGTGACTGAATGAATATATTTTCAGAAATAAATATGGAAATGTAATATTTTGGCTGAAATGACGTACATATTACAGTGGAAAGTGGGATAAAATCATGACGAAAACAATGACTTTCGCTTTCTTTCGTTGTTCAAAAGATTTTACCGTAATCGCTTTTCGAATGGTTTTCAGCTAAAAACTGTTGTACTGTATTACAATAATATTCTATCCTATCATTAGCCTCATAATCCCGCAACTGAAAACCATTCAAAAAGCGATTACGGTAACATCTTTTGAACGAAAGAAAGCGAAAGTCATTGCTATCGTCACAATTTTATCCCACTTTCCACTGTAATACGTACGTCATTTCAGCAAAAAATATTACATTTCCATATTCTCAGAAATAAATAGTAGTTTTGTTGAAACGTAATGTACAGTATTTAATATTAAAATGCAAGAAGAGCTATAAAAGCAATTAATACTGTACACCCGTAATGTACTGGGTGGCATCTCCACTCGTCCCTGCTCCCGCCTCCAGCGTCACCACTCCTCCCCGCTCTATCCCTCCACCTCCTCCACATCGTCACTACTGTTGTATTACAATAATATTCTATCCTAATTCACTTGAATAAATACTAAGATACCATATTTCTGAATATTTTCATTAAAATCCATCAAAATCATTTTCCTTGTCATCGTCTTCAGCACCAAACAGCTCCTCCCAGTCTTCTCCTTGAACAGGGCTAGAGGGTACGTGTTTTTCGAATCGTTTTCAGTTAAAAAACTGTTACATCACATGTATATTTTACCTAAACTGCGCCTGAATGAATATATTCTCAAAAATAAATAGTAGTTTTGCTGAAACGTGATGTATTTCAATGTAAAATAGGATAAAATACATGACGAAAACAAAAGACTTTACCTAACCTTCCGATGTTCAAGAGATGTTACTCGTTTTAATAGTTTTTGGTTAAAATACTGTTATATTACAATGATATTCTATTCATACTGTGCTTGATATACTACAATCACGGAAATTTAATATTTTTGCTAAAATGACGTACGTATTACAGTGAAAAGTGGGATAAAATCGTGACGAAAACAATGACTTTCGCTTTCTTTCGTTCAAAAGATGTTACCGTAATCGCTTTTCGAATGGTTTTCAGTTAAAAAACTTGCATTACAAGTGAATTAGGATAGAATATTATTGTAATACAACAGTTTTTTAACTGAAAACCATTCGAAAAGCGATTACGGTAACATCTTTTGAACGAAAGAAAGCGAAAGTCATTGCTTTCGTCACTTTCCACTGTAATACATACATCATTTCAGCAAAAATATTACTTTTCCATATTCTCAGAAATAAATAGTCGTTTTGTTGAAACGTAATGTATTTCAATGTAAATTAGGATAAACTACATGAAAACAAAAGACTTTACCTAACCTTCCGATGTTCAAGATATGTTACTCGTTTTTTGAATAGTTTTCGGTTAAAATGCTATTATATTAGTGATATTCTATTCATACTGTGCTTGATATAATACATTCACAGAAATGTAATATTTTTGCAACTACAATGCTGATGTCAACACAAGCATGTTTACAGCGAGACTGACTGAGTGAGGGGGGGTGGGGTGACGACGCGCTATGCGTGTGTGTGTGAGGTAGCGGGAGCGGGCGGTGTACAGTGTTCGGTGCCACGCGCGATTTGAATGTACTTCAATGTACAGAATATTCCTCCCGTGGGGCAATCCATGTATTTGCGAATCCGTGAATGCTAAATCCACGTATGTGAAGGGCCGACTGTATACTACTGTATATATTGTACTCACCAGCAGATCCTGTCATCTTTACTGTATATGAAGGGTACTGTACTCGTATTAATAAGCTCAAATTATTACAGTTTCTGTCCCCAAGTCTCTGTACCGTATACAGAACAAAACAAAGAATATATTTTAAATACTCTGTAACATTCGACATCATAATATTCTGACCACTGGGGTTAGTTATACAGACTTTTCCCTGTGAAAAAGCAATAATTTTGAGCAACATGTTACTGTATTCATTTTGTACTCAAATGTACTATGCTAAAGGACTAAAAATTTTATTGCTTGTGCAAAACCTATGAGATGGTTATCCTAAAATTAATCGCTATCTTGCAAGGATTCCAGCAATGCAAGTTATATTCTATGTCAATTCTAACATTTTATAAGAAAACTTTAAGCCTAAAACTACCTTCACCCACCCCTGCTGGCTGGAAGAGGGAGGGGGGGTGAGGTGTTGACAGCCAGGAGGGGAGTTTAATGCATACTACATAGTTGTTAGTGACTCAAGGATTATAAAAGGTAGAGGTGTTTAATTTTTTTGCTTATAAAATTTAACTGACTTGATTTAGGAGAATATAACTTGCATTGCTGGAATTCTTGCCAGATAGTGATTAATTAGAGTACGTATAAACATCCCTAATTTGCAGTAGACATAATAATTTTAGTAATTAACTTAGATCATTTGAGTACAGGTTGTGATAATTTATGTGGTTTCTCAGGAGTTGTGGTTGCAGTTGCGAAGCTTCGTGACATCACAAGTGTATAATTTTTTTTTTTTTTATTTATTTTTTTCCCCATTTATTGGGCACTCCCCTACATCCTTGTGTAAGGTGAAGCACAGAAGCATTTACAGTGCCCAACAGGGAAGCATGCTAAGTTCATGCTTGCCTTTATGTCTCATGAGTTAAGGGCGTAGAAGTCTGAAGAGTCAAGGGCGTAGAAGCCTGAAGAGTCAGTGTTTTTTTATGTCATCAAGTTATTGGAAGCTCCAACAACTTGTCCCTGAATACGAATTCGCAACTTTCGATTTACACCAGGTACCTACTTTACTGCTAGGTGAACAGGGACGAAGGGGACTAGGAAGAGTGTCCAAACAACTTCCGCCGGCCCAGGAATCCAAGTGTATAATGCGTCTCCATATGTCCTGGTTTATTCACTGAGCATTTGTCAAAGTGTAAAAATAGCCAAATTGAGCCATCATGTATTAATTAATTTTATAATAGAAATCATATAGTAAGATGTTATAAGACTGTGGCTTAGTAGTGCTGTTAATGTGTGTGGTGTGTAAGTGTCTTGGTATGTCAATTCACCACCTGACTCCGTCACCTCACCCTTTACCTCGTTATCTCAGCTCAGAATTACATTGATTTACTACTTTATTATTTTACTTTTTTAGTGCTGTATGTACATTTAAAAAATTTTTTTATTTGCACAGTAATAATACATAGACCATAAGCAGAAAAATCCAGCGTTACCTAAACGGTAGGTCTTCCCACCTACGCACCAACCACGTGAGGATGCAGCTAAACATGGTGCAGTCTTTCATAATGCCGGGAACCCTTGTCTCCAGGCCCTGAGCAGAAAGATTTTGAGTGATTTACTTGCAATTTTCTTAGATTTTCTGGTAATTGCACATTATTTTATAATCGATATTTGCTCCTGAACCCAGAAATAAAAATTTGGACAGATTTTTCAGATTTGTTTTCTAATTTTCAGAAAATGCTTCTAACTTTCAACCTCAGAATTTTTTCCCAAACCTGGAATTAAGGGAATTTCCGGAAAAATTATGAGCAAATTTCAATTCCGGCTATTGGAGAGTTCCGTGTTTGAGGGATTCCGGCTAACAGAGATATTACTGTATGGTACTAAATGTAGCTGTATTTACCTTTCTGAGGCTGAATCTGCAGTTGTTGCCTGGTGATGTTAAGGTGGCCAGTGCTAGGTAACTACTGAAACACTACACACTACTTTTTACACTTTATACATAACATAGCCCACTTAACAAATGTTCGAAAGGCCCACATGATTTGTTAAAGTAAAAATTCACTATATCGAGGTTTGTTATATCCGGGGTTTGCTGTATGTATAAATATATTCAGCCAGATCATTGAGAGGCTTCATGTAAGTGCATTTATTCACTGCTGCTCTTTCATAGACTCTTTCTTATCACCTTATATTGACAACCATACCATTTGATTGAGTGATTACAATTTCCTCACATATACTGTAGCACTATACGGTACACACAAATTCATAGAAAAAAGGTAGCTTATCTCTAGTAGTACTGGGCACTAGGAGTTGATAGTGATTATTGTTAACCTCAGCATAATATGTGGACATGCAGGTACACATTGAAATGAAAGAACTTTGAAGCCTTATAAATTTTTATTGAATAATTGTTAATACCTCCAGTATATCTTCAGATTAAAATGATGATCTATAAAGTGTATTTATATTTTCAAGCATTTCTTCCATAATAGAAACTATACTAACACACAAACTGTGTTTATGTATACGTATATTATAAATAAAGATATTAATATACAGTATTTTATAGTATAATAAATTAGATAAATGATTATAAACATTTAATTTACAGTAATTAATTATAAATCTATACAGTCTTTGGTAGCCTATCATCTTTTGTTTGTCCCGGACATGTATCTGCAGGTTACTGCCTCACCTGAGTGTAACGATTGTTTTGCCATTCTTAATCTGGCATACAATACAGTGGTCCCTCGATTAACAAGCACAATTGGTTCCACAGAGTCAGTCGTTAACTGAAAATTTCGTTCATTGAATCCATTATTTCAATGAGATATTGGGTAATTGGTTCTAACTCACAGAAAAGGTACATACAAAGTATTGTTCACCGGTAATGGAATTAACAAAACATTAAATATAAACTAAATACAGTACTGTACAATAATAAATAAAAAACAATAGAATACTGTATTTTAACTTAATTTGAGGTGAATATGTTGTATTACCGGCAGCTTTGTTTACATAGCAAACAGCTGATTGTAGAGGCAGTCGATGATGACATGCCATATTCTTTACAGAGTGCATTGGTTCTAATGCCTTCTTCATATTTCTTAATAATTTCGGCACTGAATACATTTATTATCAATATGTTAACTAAATTTCAGAATGGTCAATAATTTTAAAGTAAAAATGCAAAAATATTCAAGAGACCAACAAACTCGATGTTCACTCCACTGTAAACAAAGTTAAACTGAGAAGCGTTGGTGGGTGATTCAGTCAGCTGTTGGGTGCACAAAAATTGTTCCCTGTACTGTATATATTATCAATATGTTAACTAAATTTCAGAATGACCAATAATTTTAATATAAAAAGTACAAAAATATTCAACAGCACAACTTTCTTGATATTTACTCCACTGGAAACTAATGTAAACATAGGACCGATTACTGGACTGTATTGGCGGACTAGCCGATCAGCTGATGCACACGACAAAGCGTGTTTTTCGTAAGGCTGTCGTTAATAGAAGATGTACTCGTTAATAGAACTGAAAATCCTTATGGGGGGTAATTCGTTAACTGAAATCTCATAAATTGAACCGCTCGTTAATTGAGGGACCACTGTACTTTATTTCTGAATAATTTTCCCAGAAAAACAGTATCTCAGGCCATTCATATGACTTTCCACATGTACATGTGTCCAGTATTTCTATGTGTCACTGTAATCCTATACTGTATAGAGAATTATAGAAAGAGTTAATCAGATGCCTTTATTACAGGTGAGCATATCCAGTAGTAATACCACATCTGGGTCACATGTTAGACCAGTACCTCTGATGAGCAACTCTGAGATACTCTTTAAATATTGGAAGATTCAAGTGAGTGGTGAATTATTTTGTCATAATATAGGGGCTGTGGTATGGTACATAAGGGTTGTTGTAATATAATGGTGGTTCATTGCAATACCGTATAGGGATCAGAATATGAGAACTGCGGCTAGCCTGCCCGGTTTGAAATATACTAGTATATTATAGTATAGGGTATCAAATTTTTCATCTGTGAATAAGTGGGGTATGCTTTGCGAATATTGAGTAAGTATATTAAAATGTCAGTTGCGGATAAGCGGGTTTGCAAATAACTCTGTATTCCTATAGAATAGACAAATTTTGTTGACTATCAGCCACGTGGGAATACAGTACGGGTACAGTAATATTTTTTAACTTATATATTGGTATTATTTTTATTTATTCCTCACAGTTACTGGTACTGTATAAATTATTTTAAGAAAACTATGGCTTCAGGAGGAAAATACACACAAAAGTTTATTTCTGAAATATTCCCAACTGAAATGGGGGATGAGTCTTATATGCCATAAAAGACAGTAATTATTTTTCTAAAATGCTGATCCTAAATCCTGTTAGAGCTAGCTCACTCTTTCAACTGTCCATTGGCACCTCAATTTTATTTAGTTTTGGAGGGGGGAGTTAAGGCTTGTTTTGTCACTGAGATGCATATAACTACAGGTGCTCAACTTATGAACGAGTTATGTTCCTGAGGCTTGTTTGCAAGTCCAATTTTACTCTTGTAGATACCAAACATATTGTAAAAAATTTAAAGATTATAGATATTTAGTACAGCTATACCCTTTAATACAGTGACCCCTCCGTTAACGAACTCAATCCGTTCCAGAAGGTCGTTCATTAACCGAAAAGTTCGTTAACCGAAACCATTGTTTCAATGGGTTTTTGGGTAATTGGTTCCAGCTCACCGAAAATTTCCTAAATTCAACAAAAATGGTAGAAAAGTTCACTTACTTTGAGGTGTGTATGTAGAAGGCTCCTGGATGATGATGATGATGATGGGATTTAGAATGGGGGGTGGAGGAGAAGGAAGAAGAGAAGGCACACCCCATGGTGCCATTTCACCCATAAAATTTTAGCTCTCTTGGTGTAATTCAAGATTATTTTCTTTAAATCAACACTGCACTGCATTATATATTGTCAATATGTAAAATATATTTCAAAATGACCAATAATTTGCTTGGAAACACAGAAAAAAAGCGTTTAGTTGAAGAGAGTCTCAAGCAAGATGTTACCTCCAGTGAAAACAGAGAGAGACTAACTCCTGTTTGCTGTGTTAAGAGGCTGGATGCCGCGCATTAAACTAGTCACTTTACCTTCAGTTATGTTCAATAATTGTTAAAATGACTAAAAAATTGAATATTAAACTTTTAAAATTATTGAATAGTATAAACTTCTTGATATTTACTAAAATAGTAAGGAATTTAAGCCCTAGAACCGATTAATGTATTGGCGGACTGATACTAAAGCTGGTTGCCCGGTCAGTGCAAGCGAAAACATGTTGAGGTCGGTTCGTAAGAACTTCGTTAACCGAATTTTTTTTCGTTAACCGAATTGAAGATCCTTATGGAAGGCAGTTCGTTAATCGAAATTACGTTAACCGAGGTGTTCGTTAAACGAGGGGTCACTGTACAGCCTTTAAACTTGGCTCACTCTTCTCCTCTTAGGTAATGTTTGCTCTATCTGGAATTTTCTTCAAAATAATCCAGTCTCATCCACATTAAACACCTGTTCTGGCAGGTAACCCCCCCCCCCTCAGTGATGATGTTTGTATCTCTGAAAGTTTGTAAGTTGAACATTCTTAAGTAGAGGAGCACCTGTACTTTTACTTTAGGGTGTAAGTCCATCAGTTATTTATTTAAGATATTTTATTGAACTTTAAAAACCTCATTAAGAAACAGTGTTACAAGTACAATGCACTCTAAGACTAAAGTCTAGGGCAGCCACATAGAACCTACACATGTGACCTATGGTACTGTAGTGAGGAAAATCTTAAGCTAAAACTGTGATATGATTTATAAATAAAATAAGAAGTTTAATAAGTTTCACACAAATAAAATAAATAAAATGCTACAGTGAATTTAAAATCACATGCAGTTAAAAAATTCCTCATTGCCAGAACTCACTAGTTTCAGTTGCATGTAGCTGTCCACGACTGTAGTCCAAGAGTGTACAGGTATATTATTTTTACTCTTCAATTATTTACATCTCGCACTAAAAGCAGTGTTGTTGCAGGCACGTCTCAGGCTGTCATCTGTAGCACTACAAAGATGGATGATGTCAGTCATCTCCCTGGTGATAGTATGGTTGGCTATGAATCTTGTGTTATGGTTAACTTGCAATCCAACACTTATTGACCTTGCCAACTTCTTCCTGCCTCTATCCCTGCTTCCACTCCTGTCATCTGCTTATGCAGAGGTTAATCAGGAGGGGCTTCGGCTTTTGAAGGTGAATATAATGAAATATTAACTTTTTTCTAGCTAGTGTTCTCTAATGTAAAAAATTTTGTGATAAAAATATCAAAACATTACTTTAGCAAAGATTCAGATTTGTTGAACTCTGCTGGAAATGGTGAGAATAACATTAAAAAGTATTAAAGTTTTATAATTTTCCACAAGTCATTGTATTTCATCAGCTTCAATTAATCATAGGTAATTTTTTTAACTATTTGCTCTATTAACTATTTCCTCACTCATGACATTAATTTGAGGAAAATATTTTTTGCCGTTTTATTACAGCCCTTGACAGTATAGTAGAAATTTGGCAAAATTAAAACTGTTTTTAAAATGTTAAAACTGTGATAATTCAACTGAAATATCTTGATAGGAAGAAAATATCTGTATTGGGATTTAGTAGGTGGTGGGGATTAACCCAGAATCAAAAGTAGCATCAGTGGCTGAGATACTGTATCTCTTCTTGTTCCTGGAGAAATGTACAGTAAAAACCCCATAATTTGAAATAATGGGCTCTAACCCTCATGAATTATGAGATTTTATGAAATATGAGAGAGACACCTTCTCCCAAGGGGGAAAAAATAAAACAACAGTACTTTTCTGTTTTCTGCCCCAATCAAAATTTAAATGTTTCTAAGTACAGTACCAGATTTAGGGTTATCAGATATAATGGCTCAAACACTGGGCAATAATGGAAAAACAAGTGGAAAAGAGCTTGCACGGTAGACCATAGATGCACACTCCACGACTGACCAACGTGAGTTGACCGACACGCGTGACGCATACAGTATAATATGCATTTACGCGGTCAATTGAACCCGTGGAGGCCCGCGTAAATGAAATAACAGAACATGTGGGATTAATTGAAATAGAGACTGGGCCGACCCCCAAACTCCACTTTTCAGACACAATACGTATGTTGTAGTAAAAATAACATCTTAATTTTATGATGGTGTGCACACACAATTAATAATTAAGAGAAATATCAATAATATTAGGTTTTTTAACACGTTAGTAGAAAAGCTGGGTCGGCACACGTGGATGGCGGCTGGTTCCGAGGCAGAGGGCAGATTAGTTGCCCTCCGGTGAATCACTTTCACTTTCACTACTCGCAGAGGTTTGCAGGGCCTCCCAGACAAACCCCTCAAAGTCCATATCCTCACTGTCAATATCACTATCACTGACTTGGGCTGGCTGTGGTTGTGGTGGGTTGCGGGCGAGGAAGTCCTCAATACTACATTGACGACTAGCATTGATGTTGTCGAGATAGATCTGGATATACAGCTCCATAACTTTCGTCAGATGGTTATTAGACACTTCATACCGATGCTTGTCTGGGTCGTTGTCAAGGATGAGCTTAATTTTCTCCCCCAACTCGATGATTTCCTTCACATTATCCTGGCTTAGTCCAGGTAATTCAATGTTTCTCTCTGGTGGTGGGGGTCCCTCGGAAGCCATTGTGAGTTGTGAGGGGAATAGCGGGCACAAGAGAGAACTGTATACGCGGACTGAGAAGAATGAGACAGGCCCTGCTAGGTCAGCGACTTCTACCCTCTGGTGGCAGGGCACGTCATGTTACATTAGACCAATCACAGCTAGCGGCGGGGTACTTCTGTGTGTATATATATATATATATATATATATATATATATATATATATATATATATATATATATATATATATATACACACAGCGGTCAATTGAACCCACAGGGTACCGCGTTAAGTGAAATCCGCGTAAATGGAACAATAGAACATATGGGATTAATTCCAATAGAGACTGGCCCGACCCCCAAACTCTACTTTTTCCGACACAATACCTATGTTCTAGTAAAAATAACATCTTAATTTTATGATGGTACATGCACACAATTAATACTTAAGAGAAATACAGTCGCCAAGTTAATGTCCATTCAAATAATGGACTCAACTCCCTCCCCCTCTTCTCACACTACACTGCTGGCTCTTCCCTCTGTGTGAAATTTTGGGGGGAAAACCACTAGATTTTAATAAATAATACCTCAAACTAAAGTTAGGATAATATAATTGACATTGCTGGATTCCTTGTAAGACCAGGAATATTTTGAATATAAATGTCATATATTTTGCACAAAAGAGAACATATTTACTCAGAGTAAACATTATATCTAAAATTTGTATGTCTAATGCAAAATCTATGATGTTTATATTCAAAATGATCATCAAATTGTAAGAATTCCAGCAATGTAAATTATATTCTGGCCGGGTAATTTGTATGAATTTTATGAGCTAAAACAAATATCTTCAGTTAATAAAAAAAAATATTCTTCACGACACTCTCTGTCAATCAAAGTACCCCACCTTGCCTCCTCCCCTCTTCCAACCACGCCAGATGGTCGGTCCATCCCAACCCTCCCCCCCACCCCCCACCAACCCTCCCTACAAGAGAAATGTTGGGTGAAAAACTAGATTTTAACATTTAGTATTAAATAATACCTCAGATTAAAGTTAGGATAATATAATTGACATTGCTGGATTCCTTGTAAGACCAGGAATATTTTGAATATAAATGTCATATACGTATTTTGCACAAAAGATAACATATTTACTCAGAGTAAACATTATATCTAAAATTTGTATGTCTAATGCAAAATCTATGATGTTTATATTCAAAATGATCATCATATTGTAAGAATTCCAGCAATGTTAATTATATTCTGGCCCGGTAATTTGTATGAATTTTATGAGCTAAATAAAAAAAAAATTATACTTCACCGCGTATATGAGTAGATGAACCGCGTTAAGTGAAAGTTCGGTTATGGCGAGGCACCGCGTATATGAAAAATCGAGAAATCGCGTTAAGTGAAACCGCGTAAAGCGGGGTAATACTGTATATATATAAACAAAATAATAATAAAAAAATAGAAATAAAAAAAAATAATAAATAATAAAATAAATAAATAAATATTGAAGTGATAACCGTGGTAACACTATGAGATGTATGTATTACTACCATGCTATTGTACTATTCCAGATGGTACTAAATGTTACATAATACTTCCTTGAGATAAATGTATAGTATATATCAGATGCCTCAAAGAGAGCTCAGGTTTTCAACTGGCTCAGCCATGTTAATATTGTTATTATTATCCACTCTGTATCTGTATTTTTCTGGCTAAATAAAATGTTTCAATTCAGAAAAGATGGCTGGGCACACGGGGATGGGGGATTGGTTCCGAGGCAGAGGGAAGATTATTGGCCCTCACCTGTATCACTTGTATCACTACCCACCACAGAGGCTTGCAGGGCCTCTTTGTCAAACCCCTCAAAGTCCATATAAGTCCATATCCTCACTATCACTGACTTGGGCCGGCTGTGGTGGGTGGCGGGTGAAGAACTCCGTAATGTTTTGACGACTGGGCGACCTTGTGCGCACCCTGCCCGTGCCGCTTCCCGCGTATATGAGTAGATGCACCGCATGAAGTGGGAATTCCGGTTCTGGCGGGGTACCGCGTAAATGTAGAAACGCGTTAAAAAAAAACCCGTAAAGCGGGGTATTACTGTATACGTACTGTTGTATTTGTTGGCACTCAGGCAGCCGGTTGGTGGTTGCATCCCATGCCAACATGTGCGCCATATACATTTGTAAATATATATTTTATAACAGCAAAACATTACGAATTATGAGTAATTTCGAATTAGAGGGGCACGAATTATGGGGTTTTAGTACTGTACAGTACAGTCTCTGGGAATAGTTGGGTGAGTTGCGAGTGTGGATAGAGTGGATAGAGTGTACTGAATGAGGAAATATAATAATATCCCCCATTAGCCAGAATCTTTCATCCCCGGAACTTACCATTACCTGGAAAAAAAGTAATTTTTACCCTGCTTGATGTTGTGATGTATTTTAAATGTACATGTATATAACTGAATGGAATGACACTTATTTTATTTTACTATTTTTCATTTCAGTTTATTTGTCCTCTCGAGGGGAGATTGCAGATGCTTTATGTACTACAGAATTCCCCACTTCAGATGACAGTTTATGGCTTTACTGTTTCATACTCCACCATTTCCACTGCAGCTTTTGGTATTCTACTTGCTTTTGCCTCCAAGGTTCTCATTCAAGAAATATCTGGGCCGTTGATTTTAAAGAACTAGCCTTTGAGGAATAGTAAAATGAATGGCAGATTTTGATCTCTTTGGTAAGAGTTGACAGCCTCATTAGCCTAAGGAATAGCCACCTGAATATGTAATTTATATATCATACAGTATTTTATTTTTGAGAAAAAGTTCTCTGTTCACTGTGTTTACCCCACAACGGACATTTCTTGAAGTATTTTAAGAAAAGTACGTATTTTACATTGAAATAATTTCCTCTTTGTTTTTAATACCCATTTTATTCTGTAATATATTGTCCATACTGTTTTTAAGTACGATTTATTAATTATGCGTGATTGTATTATGTACTTTTATATGCACCTAATGTTGAAGGTACTGTACTTTGAAGATATGATTTCATCTATTCTTATCTCTTGTAAAATTATTTTTGTAATCTGTATATCAGGAACTCTAATGAAAATTATATACAGTATAGATTTATATTGGAAGTAGCTTTGATAGACTGTGATAAAGCATTTTAGTACTAAATATGCATGGTTAGTGAATGCTAATATTTTGTGTTGTACAGTATTAGTTCATACCCAATTTTTTCAATAACTGCAAATTGTTCATTTCTGATGTAAGTACAGGGGGCACCCCAAATTCGTGGGGGTTGGGTTCTCCAAATGGCTGCGAATCGCTAAATCCGCGAATAACATTTGCAGACGGGGTCATTTTTACTTGCGTACAAGGAAATGTACTGTATATTCTCTTTGTGTTTGCCCTTAGAACAATTATTTCTCTTACCTCTGGTATTGTATATGTGTGTGTGTGTAGACACACACACACACACACACACACACACAAAACACGTACAAATAAATAATAATAGGAAAATCCTCTCATAAATAATCAGAAAAAATTTATTAAAAATGTGACAGCCTACCTTCAAGTCTGTGCCCTACTAATAAAGTACTGTAATAGAGAATGGACTTGAGGGTAGACTCTCACATTTTTAATAAATTTGTTTCAGATTATTTGTGAGAATGTTTTCCCATTATTATTTATTTGTATGGGTTTTTTTTTTGTGTGTGTAGACACACACACATATTTACAATACAGGTAAAGAAAATTACTGTCTCTAGAATGAATGGCTCCCTGTCCCAGCCGCGAAAATGCCGGCAACTTTAAAACTACCCACAGACATTCTCGGGTACATCCAGGGTGTCATCCGCGAATAACCGAGAACCGAGAAGTAAAAATCCGCGAACTTGGGGGGCATACGGTACAGTATAAGTTTGTCTATTATGTATTTTTAGTCTGGAAGTTTACAGGTTGAAATCCAAGTCCAAAGAGACCCAAAATTTTGACAAATCTAAAAAGTTAATTACTAGTTTAAAAAAATACAAGTTTCTTTTGATTTTGCACAGAATATTAATAAAGTTCTGTAAACACTTGGAATGAAGTTACCCTGAAAAGAGTAAAATTGTGGTTAAATTCTTGACTGTACTTTGGTTAAGAGTAATCCAGCTACAGTTCTGGTTTCTTTAGGAAAATTGGCGTCCCAAAGGTATATGAATAAGCATGGGATGCGATTCTCATTGAGGCAGTAGCTACTGTAAACCCCCTGGTAACCTGTTTTTCAAACTGTTGGCTTGCTGACTATACAGTCTTCCTAATTTGGCTCTGTTAACAAACAGGGTTTCAGAATTGACCTTTTATTTTCACAAACCAAGAGCTCTGATTCAACAACTGGTGAGTTTCAGCAGTGCATTAAATGAATGATATATTATTAGCATTAAAAAGGTTGTATGATCAGTATGTTCCTAAAACTTACTAGGTACTTTAAATTACAGGTACCTGAAATATATATTTTGCAATTTAAAAACTGCTTCAGTGATCAACTGTCCTAAACATTCCAAAGTGACTAGTGTACATTATCTGCCTTAAAACCTATTACCAGGCTTCTTTTACAATATAGAGAGAGTCTAGGAGGCACATGTCCAAAAGAAAGCAGAACTGCCCAAGAAAATCACTTTGGGCCTCTTGAAAGACATGCTATACGAGGGATTTGTGCCACCTTGGTACCACAAATTAAGTGCCAGTAAAGCAAGAGGATTTAACAGACTGCAGTCTCTTCAGTGTGGAGCCTGTCTTAAGAAATCATGCATCTGTTACATTGCTATACAGTATTGTCAATTTTAGGCAACTTATAACACTCTCTGTGATTAGCTAGATGTAGTTGTTAACCACTAAGCATTTTATAGGTCTTTTACAGTGTAAACATATTATCTTTATCAATTACAAAAAGATTGTAAACATGTGCTTAATGCACCTTAATGCAACTATACATTTTTTATCAGATAAACTGCCATATCTGCCAGACATCCTTTTCAAAGAGAGAGGGGAGGTGGTAACTCAGCACATACTTCTTCATTTGAGACTGACTGTGTATGGGGTGGTTGGACATGATCAGTTTGGTAATAATTAAAACATTATTGAAGACAAAATAGGGAATCTGCCTTGGAGAGGGGGTTGCATGATGTACCAAACCCCCAGGGACCAGACTCAAGTAACTGTTTTCCACACTGACAATATCAACTGGGTAAAAAAAAATACAAATGTTGACTCCTTCATGCTCAGAAGATATTGAAAATGCATTTTACTTTAAGTTCAATTGATTCATTTTAATTTAAGTGCTTAACCTTTGTATTCCTATAAATGAAAAATGCTTCCAATTTACTGACTGCTATGAACACATTTAAGCATTCAGGCTTTCCTCCCTAGTTATTTGTATGTCAAATGACAGGAAATGGGTTAGGAAGTGAAGGATAAGATTCCACAGACTTGGAAATGGACTGTGCTGCCTCAGCTTGCCTCATATTATATTTTTCCCGTAAAATATAAAATATAATAATAAAATGATGCCTCTATCCATGTTTGACATGCACTAAAATGATAATAAAGTTATATATATTTTATATTTTGCTTACTATTCCAAGGTTATGTTTTCTTTGTTTTTGGAGAGGCAAGACAATGATTGACAGAAAAATAGTTATATTCAGTTTTGTACTCCCTCTTTACTCTTTTTTTTATTATAAAACATGAAAACAATAAGAAGTCTGTTCTTAAATTGTAATGTGCCAAGTGTTGAGTGGTGGCGCATAACATGGTGGTGTTTATTTTTACAGACCAGCTACAATTGGACTTATAATTAACTATTATTCCAATCTATAACAGTAGACTGAAATAATAGCTTTATGATTTATAAGCCCAATTGTAGCATCAGTAGAAAATATGTTGATCCTGAATACTGTCATCGAGAAGACTATCCTAATCCCCACCCTTTCTCAACTCAGGAAACAGGTCATGTGACCTGATTCCCAAGTTCTGTGTCTTTCTCCCTTGCTTTGTCACCTTTCCACCACCATCAACCAGAAACACACTTCACTCCAGCATAGGTGGCATGCCAGTAGCATGCCCCTACAATAAGTGTTGGATGAAAATCCAACTTTGCCACGTTCTCTGAGTGGGCCAGGAGACATCTTACACTCGGCATTTACTGTATTTTACACCACCTAATTTTGTTATTTCCACTTTTTTTTATAGTAGACTCGTGATTATTTAATACTGGATAGGTAAGTGAATAGAAAAATGGAATTCAATTTTTTTTTTATTTACTTACATGTGACAATTCTAAATGGAATGCAATTAGCAGAGGCCTCTGCTCCACAGCAAACATGCTGTGGTGAGTTTTACACATCGCTTAAATAAAATTACTTACATTTACGTAATTCTACACTTATTTTTACTATTTCTTGTACAGTACTCGGATATGTAGATATTATTCACCTAGGCAGTTTTTTGGAGTCGGCACTTGCCATATGCTGTTGGGTAAGGTGGTGATAGTGTTGGTAAAAGCAGACAGGGCACACACACACACAACCTCCTCATGCCTCCCTCCCTCCCTTCTCCCTCCCTTCCGTGCCTTGCTGCTACACTGCCTGTCATCCACTACCGCCCACCCACCCACATAACTTGCCCCTACCCTTATGCTACCGCCTGTCATGTTCTCATCACGCCCATATACACCCACAACACCCACCCAGTGGAGATGCCCACTTGGAGCACAGAATCCCCATTATTTTACTTCTCATGAATTTTTCCCATTACACCCACCTCTCTTTTTACGCAGGGGTTATGTTCTTGAAAACCACCGCTTAATTCAAAAACGCGTAATTGAAACACGATTTTCCCATAATAATACATGTAAATGGTGCAGGATACGATCAGTGCTGTCACTTAAACCAATCACACGGCCTACCTCCGACACACGCTCTCCTCTCTGAAGGTGGGTGATCACATTTAATTTCATGTCTATTGCGATTGTTTTTCATGCCTCTTTAGCTTTTGGCACCCCCAGAGGAGGCAGATGGACGTTTTCCAGACATGGTCAATGGGGAAAACAGCATTTAACACTAAAAAGGTATGTGATAAACACACAATGCAAATTAGAGCACAGAGAAAAAGTAGTGCTGGTGTGAACTTGGAAAGCGATATGCGGGAAGCTTGTTGGACGTCGTTACAGTTGTTGAACAGATTACTTCATTATCATCATTAGCAGTAATAATCTTTATTATTACATTATTATAGTAATTATGATTAATAATATCAAAATCGTTGATGTTGATATGACTGCGACTTTATAGTAATAACTAAAAAGCACCTCACCAGGCATCACACGTGACTCCACCGCCAAGCAACCAGGCGTTTACGTGCGGCAAATTTAATATGTCTTGAGCGCGTTATTTAAAAAATAGGTGCGTGTAAATTAGCTTTTGGTATCAATTGAACAATTGCATTATTCCAAAAACGCTTAAATCAAACGCGCGTAAGACGCAAGTTACCTGTACATTGAAGATCGCTAAACTGAACAATTGCAGATCGTTAAATAACCAAGTGTGTTAGAAATTTTAAATTGCTAAACTGAATCATCGTTAAGTGAATGATTGCTAAACAGTAGATACCTGTAGTTTAGAAGGAGCAATAATTTTATATTTTCACTTTAAGTAGTGGGCAAGGCATGAAGGATGTGGGAAATTGTGAGGTAAAATGATGTGAAAATCTGCTCATATGTCACAAAAATTATGCCTCTACATGCTTTATACGTGAAGAAATTAATTATTTACCGTAAAGACTCCTCCGAACAATCTGCCTTTGTTGGCGTGTTGTCATCTGCACTGCTTGTTTACAACTGACCCGCTCGGTATGAGTGTACTCTCACGTCCACAAAAAATTTAAAATTACACCATGGTGCTTCAGTAAAGTTTCTTTCATTGGTACCAGATAGCAAAATTAAGTACTTTTTATTTAATGTGGTGTGGGTCCAGGGCACTCGGCTAGGAAGTTAAGTAGGGTTAGGTAGGTTCCTTTGGTTGGTTAGGTCAGGTTCTATTAGGTTCTAGTAAATGTCACATTTCAAAATACACTGTACTTGTACTTAATATAATGATAAGAACATCTGCAGAAAAAAGTGAATGAAATTGAACAACTTCTTCTGGTGGTAGCTGTTTCCTCATACATTACCAAAATTTATAATGATTACACTCTCTGAGGCAGCAAACTCCCCATTCTCATCCCATCCTGTATCCCACATTTTTTTACTGGTTGCTAAGTTCAAATTTGAACACACAGGTAGCTCAAACATTAAATAAAAATGTATACAGTAGTTAATGGGGTGAGCTACCTGCAGGGAGTATGGTATACAGTAACTATGGTATTGCTTGCCTAACAAAGTTTGTAAGGTGCTACTATAATACAGTCTGCCGAGCTGGAGATGTGTCCACTGGAATATTTACACTGTAGCATCCATTAACCTCACCTAGGTTAGATTAAGTTAGGAAGATATATTAGATTAAGTTAGGTTAGGTTAGATTAAAATACATTAGATAAAGTTAAGTTAGGTTAGACCAACTCCAGCTCTGTAAACCACGTATTATAGTAGCACCACTATCCTTTACTTTTTACTTTTACTTTTATCCTCTTCGCCACTGAGTGATCAGCTCAATAGC